AACAACAATCCGCACCGCAGAAGCCCACTTCAGCCTCGCACCCTGGGACAGTGAATGGCCGTTCAGCCCCCTCACTCCTGAAAATGCCCGGCGTCAGGAGCAGAAATGCATACATGCGCGTCCGTAGTCGGCATCAATAACCGACTTCACGAACAAGCAACACAACGCAAATTCCGCACACACAGAAACAATTGGCACCCATAGTTTACATCACTCCGCGATACGAACAGCATCCACCAACACAGTGCACCAATAACCGCCTGCAGTGCCGTACAACAATCGCGGGCACCGTCAACATACATAGGTGCATAATCTGGGAAACACAGCTGATCAGTACTACGCAAAAGTGGCTCGCATGCTCGGTATAGCGAGCCCGCATCAAAGGAAACTTATACATCACACGACCGCCAACCTGAACCACTTGTCTAGCCGACAATTGCAACTAGCACATGGACCCTCACGCCGATATGGGGAGCATAAACGACCTATGCACGAACAGTAAACGTGCACTGAATCTCACCTTGTTGAGTCACCCGGGAGCGACTTGGACACCCGCCGAACTAGTTCTCTGATACCGAAGCAGCGTACCTAAATTTCTGCAGTGATGTTATATCGTGGAGGTGCAGGGTCGAACTTGCTGGCCAGGAGCTGGACGCAGTCGGGTTCGGGCGGCTTGACGAGCGCGACGCTGCGAAGAACAGGAGGACGCCGTCGGGGTTGCAGTTGGTCGCGCCTGGTCTTGGGTAGGTTCCCGAAGGATGGATCATCGCCAGGCTCTTTATTGAACAGTCACGTGGAACGTGCCGCAACGACCAAACTGCAGTCCTGCTATCCAGCTGCCTCTGGCAATTCCGCCACCGACCGTGCCAGCGCAGTATTCTGGGTGGCAACTACTCGAGAAGGCAAGGAGGCCTGCTGGTGGCCTCTTGGGATCGTCTTGGGGCCCTCTTGGGCCGTCTTAGGGTCCTCTTGAAACGTCCTGGAGCTCTCATGCGGGTCTCTTGAGCCGTCTCGGGGAAGGCCTTGGGGCCTCTTGGGCCGTCTTGGAGTGTCGCCAGCTCGAAAAGGTCATAACCGCACGAACAGAGAAAAAACTAAGGAGACTCAATGCTCGGTGCCCACCAGGGGGTCTCTCTTGGGGCTCCCTGAGCCATCTTGGGGCGGAAGGCTCGAGTTGTCGGTCCGTGTTCCCCCCCAACGGCCCTTCTTTGGGCCGTGGGGCCCTCTTGGGCACTCTGGGGCGCTTCCTGGGCCGTGGGCATCGGGCGCGGACTCCCCCACGGTCCGCCCCCTTAGGTACACCGCCCTTCGCCAGACATCCTACAGAGGGATTTTCGACGGAAAAAAGAAAAAATGCCCCAACAATTCCAAAATGATCAAAAATACGAAATTCAGAAAATTATCAAAAATACTAGCAAAATAGCCCTCCTACTTTTTTTGTATATATTTGGATATTTCAGGCTGCGACCTCCATCGCGCTCCGCTCCAGCGCTTCTGCAACACCCCTGGGCGCCCATGTCCCCAGGCGGGCTCGATTGATAGTCGGGGAGGGTGGGGGAACGGTCGGGATGTACGGAATCTGCTGCGTGCATCTGGTGTCGGCCCCGATGCCAGGTGCCTTCCCTTGATGCACTGGCGCCTCCTGCGCCGGGAGGGGCGCCAGGGGAAACCAGCTACGTGAGCTGACTTGCGGACTCCCGTTATCAGGAGGGGAGAAACGCACAGACACAAGCAGCCGTCGATTCCTTGCAAGATTTGGCGACACGTGGCAAGTGGGGGGAGAGCGAACATCCAGAAAATATGGACACATGCAGGGAAGTCCTGGATTTGTGTATGTTTCTTTGTGTGTCCCTGGGCCCCTTGGCTTTCCTCCCCCCCTCTCGCCCGACTCGATATGACCACTCCTTGTCCCCTCGAGGTCCTAGGCGGCCCCCAACTGTAAGTCGGGCCTGACCCTCTACAGGAGGAAATGCAACAATGGTCAACCAATAGTATGGGGCTGTATTGTTTTGCGTTTGTTGTTGTTGTTGTTGTTGTTGTTGTTGTTGTTGTTGTTGTTGTTGTTGATGTTGATGTTGTTGTTATTACTTTTTTGTTTTTTGTTGTCGGTTCCTAATTTTCTTCGAAGATCGGCCTGTGGGGGGACAGGTCCGACTTAAACATAGATCCTACGTCTGGCCTCCCAGGAGGCACCGGGACCGCCGTGGCGCAACAGTGACCCGTGCTGTTCTGAAGGCCTGCCTCGAGGGACGCGGGGGGTTCAGAGGCAACGATGTGGGTAACTTCGGATGCAACTCCTGGGAGGTCAAATTCTGATTCTGCCCTGGTCCGAAATCCGGCTTAATCTGGCTTAATCCAGCTTAACCCGCTTAATCCGGTTTATTCCGGCGTAATCCCGCTTAATCCCGCTTAATCCGTGGCCGAATCCTGCGTAGTAGCCCCCCCATGGGGCTTACTTAAAAAAATGTTTGATAGAGATTTCCCAGTAGTTGCCTCCCAAGGTACCCGGGCTTATGATGTGCCGACCGCCTGTAGCCTCGACCACCAGAAAGAATTTCGAGCACCGGGGCAGTACCAGCACGGGATGGTTTTTACGTGTCGGGCCCCGGGGGGCGAGTCTCGTTCGACATTGCGCCAGCGTGTCGGGCAGACATTGTTTCGATACTTTTCTGGGTGCTCGAAATTATTTGTGGGATGTGGTCCTTAAGTCCGATGGGAACAGTATAAGGTAACCGTATCTTGGCCCCTCCGGGATGCTGGGGGGATGGGGACAGTTCTCGAGGAAGGAGGGGTGGTTCCGGTGGTCTTCAGTCTTACGTCATGGAGCCAGTGGCGTGTCGGTGCTTTCTTGTGGGAGAATTTTTCGAGTTACCAGATGCACGCGCACGAGGTCACTCGGTTGTTGAGGGTCGTGGCCATTTCCTGCATGTGTAGCGGGGTTTGCAGAGGATTGGGAGCCAGAGGGTCGGTGCGAGGAGGAGGAGGAGGAGGAGGAGGATGTTGGAGGGCGCGTAATGGTAGAGCAATGACTGAGGGGGGGCAGCGAGGGCTGCCGACAGGAGGCCCTTCAGGACCTCTAAAGAGGCCATTTAAGGCCCAGGAGGGGGCCTTTAGGGCCCGAAGACGGCATGTATTCGACCCCCATAATTTATCGCCCTCCATGAGCTCGCGCCCGATGAGGAGTCGGAGGAGGAGGAGGAGGAGGAGGAGGAGGAGGAAGACGGGGGAGTTTGGCGGGGATGTGAGGACGCATCCAGACGAGAAACCGCGCGGGGGGGGAGATGGTAGCCTCACGCTTAGTGGGCCCTGGAAACGGCAGGGCGTTTTTTTTCACCGTTTCCGAAAAAGTGTCCCTTGAAAATGGAAATGGCAAAAAAACGGCGACCGGAAACGGCACCAAAAACGGTTCCAGGAGTGGAACCGGAGCCGGAACCGGTCAAACCACGGCGACGGAACCGGCAACAAAAACGGCGTCGGAACCAGCAGCAAAAACGGCAAAACGGAACCGGTAACAGAAACGGCCCTGTCGTTTCCAGGGCTCATTAAGGCCTCATGCACGCCCGAGTGCGACGACGGTGGCCGAGGGCTCGGGCGACGTTCAGCACATTTGCTCTCCTCCTCGCCCTCTTCCTCTCGTCTCTTGCGCGGCCCCTGCAGGGCCTCCAGCGGCAGCGTACCGAGGGCGGTGTGCGGGTGGCCCCCCCGCGTGTCAATCGGGAGGGGAGAGCACAGACGAAAAGGATCGCTTATGCCTGTGAAAATGTAGGGATATATGAGAAGTGGGTGGGGAGACGGGAGCAATCCAGAAAACATGGAACATGTGGTGAATCCGGGAATTTTGATGTATTTATTCGTGCGTGTGTGTGTGTGTGTGTGTGTGTGTGTGTGTGTGTGTGTGTGTGTCCCTGGGCCTCTTGATTCAACCTACTTATGGGGAGCAGGATAAGCGGGAGCAGGGGGCTTGCTGGGGCGGAGCAGGCCCGTCTCACCTGGACCCAGGCCCCCGACATCGTGATTCTCGCTCGACGTGGGTCCCCCAGAGCTCTCGGCCCCGCTCAGTCTCGATCGAGGACAGGGGTGTCTGGAAGCTTGTGATACGTTGTGCGCCTGTAAGTACGCGCGGGGCCGCGTCGATCCTTGCATGTGGGGAAGAGCCTCACCCCTATGCGTGCGACCAGGGGGGCTTCCTGCGGCAAATGTCCGCGACGCCAGCGCGAGGGACACGTTATACAGCCTGCATCCGCCTTTCACCCTTGCGGCAGTAGGATTGTGGAGGACGATCAATGGAGAGGAATAATGTTGCCAACAAACATCCAGATGTCTAAAGCATGTGTTAAGCATGCTTTAAGCATGTACCACACATGTTCGACACATGTGTTTTAATCATTGCCCGACATCTCAACCGCATCTTAAATTCAATACTAGGACTGTTCGGGTGTCAAGTGTCGTGGCATCCGCAACAGTAGGAATGCCAATCTGCATGGTCAGAGGTCGAGAAGAGGCCGCAAGCGCGGGAACGTTCGGACCGCTCCGAGTGCGAGAGGGGCAGCGGGCGCATCACGTCAGCAATCGGCCTGCCACCAGGTGCGGATAGCTGCTTCCCCTCGTGGCCCAGGGGGGGGGCATGGAGGCCCTGCAACCCAGTAGCAAGCTCAGAGGTCGACGGCAAGTATCGTGGAGGATGGAGGATGGAGATGGACAGAGAGGAGGAGCCCTCCCCTCCCTCCTCCCTCCTGGAGGGGAAGGCCCTCCCCCCTCCCTCCTCGAAGAGGGGGGGGAGACGGGCTCCTCCCCCTTCCCCCTCCCTCCCTCTTGAGGCAGGAAGGGAGGGAAAATGAAGATGAGGAGGAGGAGGAGGAGGAGGAGGAGAAGGCGGAGGGAGGAAGAGGACACAGAAAAACAAGTAGAATGACAACCGAAACGAGCTCATGGATGAGGCGCCGCGGCGCCCCCCACCCACGCGACGGACGTCGTCGGGGAGGGGCCGCGCGCGGGGCCAGGGCTCTTTCGGCACCGTCTACCGGGCGGTGGACCGGAAGTCCGAGGACCACCCGCGCGGCGCCACCCAGGCATGTTTCGGCTCTCCTCGTCCTCGTTGCATCGTCGCCGCCGCCCCCGTCGCCGTCGTCGCCGTCGTCGTCGTCGTCGTCGTCGTCGTCGTCGTCGTCGTCGTCGTCGTGGTCGTCGTGGTCGTGATCGTGGTCGTCGCCGTGGCCGTCGCCGCCACCGCCGCCGCCGCCGCCGTCGTCGTCGCCATCGTCGTCGGCGTCGGCGTCATCGCCGTCGTCATCGTCATCGTCGTCGCCGTCGTCGTCGCCATCGTCGTCGGCGTCGGCGTCGTCGTCGTCGGCGTCGTCGTCGTCGCCTTGGCCCGTCCGCGGTTGTGCCGTGGCGGCCCACGGTCGAGTTGCCGGACGGGCTCCCTCTGCCGCTCGCGACCTCTGCTCTTCTGGCTTTCCCTCGGCCTCCTCGTCGTCCTCCTCGGCTTCGTCGTCATTGTCCTCGTCGTCGTCGTCGTCGCCGTCCCCCTCCTCCTCCTCGTCCTCCTCCTCGTCCTCCTCCTCGTCCTCCTTCTCCTCCTTCTCGTCCTCCTCGTCGTCCTCCTCCTCCTCTGCCTCCTCCTTCCTGTGGCATTGCGCTCCTCCTCCCTCTTTTCATCGTCGGGCGGCACAAGTGTGTCCTGTTCGTGCGAGGGGCCACGTACCGCTATGCGTTGTGCCTCGAAGGCGGGGGGCCTCTGGCTGTGCATGTTCGCGTCATTCGTCCGAGTGTTTCTCACCTCGGCGCAGGCATGCCTGGTATTCCATGCTCCACATCGCTTCGCCGGCTCCGCGGCATCACATCTCCTGGCTCGCCCCCTGGCACGCCCCTCGGCGCGTCCGCTCGCACGTCCCCCGGCACCTCTCCCAGCGTGTCCCCTTTGCATGCCCTGCGATACCCTCCCTGGCTCGTCTACGGGCGAGTCGTCTGGCGTGTCCTCTGGCACGTCCGTTGGTACGCTCCCGGTGGCACGTCCCATTGATGCGCCCCCCCAGCGCAACACCTGTCACGCCCCCTGGAGGATCGATCCCCAGGCGCGTCCTCATGCAAGTTCCTTGGCGCGTTCTCCAGCACGTCCCCTTGCTCGTCCATTGGCACGGACATGCGCAGGAGGTTCGTTGGTGACCAATGCTGGTCCCCGATGCGTTCCCCTAGCGCGTCTCCCCTGCGCGTACCCTGACAAGTCCCGTGGCACGTCCCGTGTCACGTCGCCTGGCGTGTCCCATGGTGCGTCTTATAACGCGTCCCCTTGCACGTCGCCAGACTCGTCCACTCGGCGCTTCCCCAGGCACGTTTTTGGGCACGTCATCCCCTGGCAAGTCTCATGGCGCTTCCCCTGGCACGATCCCTGGTACGTCCCCTGGCTTGTCCACTGGTGCGCCCGCCAGCGCGTCTTATGGCGCGTCCTGACACGTCCGTTGGCGCGTCCACTAGACGGCAACGTCGCAGCATGGCACCACGCAGGCGCGATTTTCGAATCCCCGTGTGGAGGATCACACCGCAGCACGGCGCGGCACCACGAGAGAGGTCGCGGCTCGACTTCACGGCCGAACCCGTGCGGACCATGCGCAGTCTTGGCTGGTCTATTCCCGTTTTGAGGCTCGTGGGTCTTTCATTCTTATGTCTTAGGATTCCGAGAGGCCGAGATGTTCGATACTGTTCATGGTAGCCCTGGGCGGCGACATTGAAAACAGCTCTTCCTGCATGTGGACCGCATTTTGCCCTTCCTTCGTTCTTCCTCGCCCCTTTCGTTCTTCCTCCCCCTCTTCGTTCGTCTCGTCTCCTGTGAAAGGGGCGAGTCTGGTCCAGATCTGGTCCAGATCTAGTTTCAAATGTGTCTCAAGTCAGGTCGAACTAACGGCCCAGATCGGACAGCGCCAGGGGCCACCCACGCAGGCTCCCACGGAACAACCACCAAAGAGATGGCACGGCTCCCATAAGCTACACGTTGGGGCCGCGAAGATGGGCGCGATTCGCGCACCGCGGCTTGGGTTTGAGATGTGCCCATTTCTCCAGGGCTCGGACTGGGCTTAGAACGAGGACAAGTCCGCTCTAGAGCGTGCAGGAACGCTCTCAGAGCAGTCCAGGACGCTCCGAGATGGCCGCGGCGCCCGATGTATCCTGCAGAGCCGCCGGATCTCAGAGCTTCTCGTTGCATCCTCACCCCAATTTTTCCAAGCTTCGTCTTGGCTTCGTCTTGGCTTCGTCTCCAGGGTGTCGTGGGAGGGCTTTGTCCTGGCTTCGTCCTGTCGTTGTCTTGGCTTCGTCTTAGCCTCGTCTTGGTTTATCCTCACCCGAACGTGTCATCGTCCTGGCTTCGTCTTCAGGGCGGCGGGCGGCAATGCGTGGTGACCTAGATGGGGGTTGGAGAAAAGGGCCCTAACGGGGCCCTGGGGTGCTGCTTTTGCTATACGCTCCGTTGCACGGGCGGCAAGTTGTGGCCTTTGCAGTGTTGACCGGCCCCAGGGCCCCACTTAGACGCGCCAGGTTTGGCCTGCGACCGCCTGTCATTGTCCTGTCATTGACCGCGCGGCAGGTTAGAGTGTCAATTTTGAATTGCGACTCGCCTGTCGGTCGTGCTCGCCGAGCTTAATTCGTCCAGTCCGTAGCCAGTTTTTGGAACGCCAGCGCACTTGAACGCGGGACTCGTGGTTTCACGAGAGAGGTGATCGGTCTCTGAGCCACCTTTTGTTCTTCTCGTGCTGTTTGTTGGCGGTCTCTTCATCTGTTCTCGTTTCCAACACCCTCCCTCATCCACCTCTCCTCTTGCGCTCTTGCTTCTGCTACGGCACTCTCGACTGTTTTGTTCAGGAGGGAAAAGCACTCAGACACAATCGATCCCCCAGCAATTATGGGAAAGCATGGGAAGTGGGGGGAAAACAACAACCCAGAAGATATTGGAAAATACGGGGAGTCCTATTATTTGTGTCTATCTATTTGTGTGTCCCAGTGCCCCTTCATGTATTTCCAGCAGACGTCGGTGGACACGGCACTGGCGTTCAGGCGATGGCCCCGCTCCGCTGTGCATCTAGGGAGTCATATTGTCTGTGGTGCCCACCACTGTCGTGACTGGGGGGGCGCATACACACAAGAACTTCCCTTAAGTCGGGCGTGCCCCTCTACAGGAGGAATTTTCGGAACTAGTCAACTAATAGTCTGGGGACGATGTTTTGAATATGTGTTGGCTACTTCGGGGTATAAGCAATATGTTCGTCCAGAATCCGCCTGTAGGGGGACATGTCCAACCTAACACTTCCCCTGTTCCGCTGCCCTCCAGGCCGCTGTCACACCCGCCACTTCGATGTCCTCCCTCCCCTTCTTCCCCAACCGCGCGGTGCACGTGGGGCGGATAGCGGGAGAGGAGGCGGAGGACTCCCTTCCTCTTCCTTCTCTCCCTCCTTCGCCTCTTCCTCCTCCTCCTTCTCCTCCTCCTCCTCCCCGTCCTCCTCCTCCTCCTCCTCCTCCTCCTCCTCCTCCTCCTCCTCCTCCTCCTCCTCCTCCTCCTCCTCCTCCTCCTCCTCCTCCTCCCCTCTTTCTCCCCCTCCTCCTCCTCCTCGTCCTCCTCCTCCTCCGCCTCCTCCTCCTCCTCCTCCTCACGCGGTCTCCGGAAGTCTCCTCCTCCTCCTCCCTCCCTCCCTCCCCTCCCTCCTCCTTTCCCTCCCTCCCTCTCTTCCTCGTCGTCCAATCCTCCTCCTCCTCCTCTCCTCCGTCTCCGTCTTCCTCCTCTTCCCCTTCTCCTCCTCATCCTCCTTCCTCCTCCTCCTCCTCTCCTCCTCCGTCATCCTCCTCCTCCTCCTCCTCCTCCTCCTCCTCTCTCTCCTCCCCCTTCCCCTGCTCCTCCTCCTCTCCTCCTCCTCCTCCGCCTCCTCCTCCTTCCCTCCTCCTCCCTCTCCTCTCCCCCCCTCCCCCCAAGCCCCATCCTCGCCGTGTTCCTTCTCCTTCCTCCTCTTCCTCCTCCTGCTCCTCCGTCCCCCTCATCCCCTCGCTTCCTTCCTCCTCCGCCTCTCCTCCATCCTTCTCCTCCTCCTCCGCCCCTCTCCTTCTCCTCATCCTCCTTCTCCTCCTCCTCCTCATCTCCTCCTCCTCCTCCTCCCCCCCTCCGTCCTCCTCATCCGTTACCCCCCTCCTCCTCCTCCTCCTCCTCCTCCTCCTCTCCTCCTCCTCTCCTCCTCCTCCTCTCCTCCTCCTCCTCCTCCTCCTGCCTCCTCCTCCTCCTCCCTCCTCCTCCCCCTCCTATCTCCTCCTCCTCCTCATCCTTCTCCTCCTTGCCTCCTCCCTCCAACTCTTCATCCCCTCTGCTTCCCCTCCTCCTCCCCTTTTCCACTCTTCCTCCTCCGCTCTTTCCTCCTCATCCTCCGCGTCCTCCTCATCATCCTCATCAGCCTCATCCTTCTCATCCCCTCCTCCTCTCCTCCTCCTCCTCCTCCCCGTCTTCTTCCTCTTCCTCCCCCTCCTCCTCCTCCTTCCTCACTCATCCTCCTCCTCCTCCTCCTCCTCCTCCTCCTCCTCCTCCTCCCGCCTCCCCTCCCCCTCCCCCTACCCCCTCCCCCTCCTCCTCCTCATCCTCCTCCTCCTCCTCCTCCTCTTCCTCCTTCTCCCGTAGCCGTTGGCTCAAGATGACTTGTTCCCTTGGGGGCAGCACGGGTACCGCTAGTCCGCGGCCAGTCGTCGATCCTTCTCGCCTTCACTGTGGGAGTTGGGCCCCCACACCCAGCTCATTTCATTTCAGGGGCCATCGAACCTGCCTTCAGCGAGGCAGTCGGCGCCCTTCTCCCGTTATTCCCGTCCAGGGCGAGCCGAGAGCGGCCCTGCGACAGCAGCTTTCATGGTGCCGCCGCCGAAGCAGCCGCCTGTCCTCCGTGGACCTCGTCGCCCCACGTGGGCGTGCGGGCGCTGTTCGGCGAGCGCAAGCGGGGCGTGCCGCAACAGGTGCGCCTGCGGCAATGAGGCGAGGAACCATATCAAGGTCAAAGCGATCGAGCAGCAGAAGATCTGGGATGACAAGGCCCAGGCGAGGCAGGCTTTCGCTGGTGGCGGTCGCCGCCCGCAGGCGCCTGGCAGCGATGACCTCGGGAAGCGGATGGCAGCCCTTGAGAAGACGATCGCAGACGCGCCCCGCACGGGACAAGGCACCGAGCCGAGGGTTGATAAGCCGAGGTTCACCCGTTTTCTTTGGGCGGTTGCGCCCGATGCCAAGGCCGTTGCTGAGCCGAAGGCCGACGACACAGACGATGACAAACGAGCCAAATATGCAGCACAGCTTGCCTGGTTTGAGGTTTCTTTCAAGACATTACCGACTGGAGACGCTGGATCAGACCTCCGCACGCAGATTCAGGACAAGACCGATCACATTCAGCAGCTGCAGAAGAATTTGCGACCTTCAGCCGTCGCGCACCGTCGTGCGGCGCAGGATCTGCAGAAAGGTAAGCAATCTCCCATTAATAGATGAGTGAGGGCGGCGCTATGTCGAGGGGCGCATTCGGAACTGACCTGCATTCACCCCTCAAATTGCCGGACACGATTGAAACGAATGCGCGCGGATCCAAGGCGAGACCCGCGTTGTGGAAACCACTGGCCGAAACGAATGCGCGCGGCGCGAAGGCGAGAACCGCATGTGGGTATTTATCGGTCTTCCAATTTTGCACCTCTTGGCGAGAGCCGCATTTTGGAAACCACGAGCTCTCCATCCATGTGCTTACGGACCCCAGGGCAGTGAGACGCAAGGAATTCTCAAGCGAATCTGGTGGTTCGACTGGGGTGAGCTGTTTTTTGTTTAAAAGGAAGGGATGCGGCAGGAGGAGGGAGGGGTCGGAGGGGGAGGCGGGAGAGGAGAGGAGAGCACGACCGGATCGGTGGGTGGCACAGCGGTGCCCACGAGGAGCTGGTGGCCATCAAGCAGCTCGACAAGCGCGCGCTGCCGCAGCGGGGCATCGGTCGCCAGCAGGTGGCCCGTGCCCGCACCTCTCTCTCTCCGGCGCGGCTCCTGTCGTCTTGCCAGCTGTGGAGGGCCACCACAGGCACGTGTCCCGCCCCCCCCTCTGGGATCGAGGGCCGATGCCCCCCCGCCACACTCTTGCGCTGGGTCTTCGCTTTCTCTACAGAGCACTGTTGGTCCTGTCGGCGGCGAGCGAGGGGGCGGAAGCGAGAAGGAGAAGGCCTTCTCAGAAGGTTTGGAAGTCCCCCGGCCTTCTGAGAAGTTTTCTAAGCCTTCCCCGAAGACACAAACAAGTTCTGAGAAGGCGCGAGGGCTTCTGAGAAGTCCCGCCTTCTGAGAAGGCCTTCTCCTTCTCTCTTCCCCCCCTCGCTCGCCGCCAATCCTGCTCCCTTTCACTCCCGCCTGCTCTCCCTCTCCTCTTGCCTCCTGCCTCCTGCCCTCCTCTGCTGTCACCTGTGTGCTCGCGCTTGCTGCCTTGTGCCTCCTGCTTCCCGCCTCCTGTCTCGTTCCTGCCTCTGCGGCATTGGTTTAAGTCGGGCCTGCCCCTCTGTAGGAGGGATATTCAAAAATAGTCAAAACATCATAGAGGGGGCGATTGTTTTGACTACGTTTGGATATTTTTGGGCCATGCTTGGAGCATGTTTTAGGTTTCGTCCAAAATCGGCCTGTAGGGGGACACGCCCGATTTAAGCCTTGGTGTTGCCTCGCCCCCGAGGCGCGCAGCCGTCGCCTCCTGCTCGGTCCCGCGGCGTGCGGTCCTGCGCGGACCCCCTGCGACACCTCGCCCTCCTCGGGCGCTGCCAAAACTGCGCCACCGTCGCCACGCCCGTGTGCTCCTAGGAAGTCCAGGAGGAGGAGGAGGAGGAGGAGGAGGAGGAGGAGGAGGAGGAGGAGGAGAAGGAGGAGGAGGAGGAGGAGGAGGAGGAGGAGGAGAGCGGGGTGTGGTCCTGGGCGGTCTCGAGGTGGGCCTCGCTCCCCCATGGGCGCTGCCGATGGCGCAGCTGTCGGAGTTCGCCTCCCTGGAGTTCCAGCTGGGTGCGGTCCCACGCAGACCCGAGCCCGATGTGGGGCGCTCCAGACAGTGCCTTGCCCTCGAGGCTCGAACGAGTCACCGCCTCCTCCGCGGCGGAGGGCGGCCGAAGGGCGGCGGCCGAGGGGCGGCGGAAGGGGGGCAGAAGCAGGCGGACGCCCCCGCCTCTGCCGGCGGAAGCTCGGCGGAAGCTCGGCGGAAGCTCGGCGGAAGCTCGGCGGAAGCTCGGCGCGACCTCCCACGAAACACGACAACGTGTTTGGCTCCCGAGGTTCCGGACTCGGCTGTGTGGAGCTCCGCGCGGAGTTCCCCGGAGAGCCGCATGCGGACCCTGCCCCACCGCCCTTGCGATTTTTCTGTGGGGGGGGAGGGCGGGCGTCGCTTCGCTCGGGGACCTCCCGAGCGAAGATCGAGCCCCGCCCTCCCTCTCCGGAAGTCGTGTGAAAGTGCGGGGGTCGGCTTCGCGCGTGGCCTCCCTGTTTCCCGCGGGCCTCCGCCCATGGTCGCCGCCGCCCCCTCGGCACGGAGAGAGCCGTGCCCCGCCATGGAGCCCCGCCCGGGAGCCCCCGTGGGCGTGCCCGCACGCGGGCCTCCGTCCACGCTGCGGGGGCTCCGAGCACTCTTCGCAGAGGGCCCGGGGGACTTCCGAGCCCTCCTGCGTCGGGGGCCTCGAGACGGGGGCCAGTGCAAACGGGGGTCAGCCAGAGCGCTGGAGCTTGCGGGATCCTGCAGGGACAGGCTCGCACTGACCAGGGCCTGGGTGCAGGATCTCCTGCAGGACCTTGCAGGATGCTTCGCGCTGACCCGGGCTTGAGCGCAGGATCCTGCAGGATTTGCAGGATTCTGCAAGGCCTGACTGACCCGGGTCTGGATTGACCCGGGTCAGAAGATCCCCGACTGCGAAGGCCCGCCCCTTCTCACTTCCCCCCGGGCTCGCCGCCAACACGCGGATCTCGGCCCCCACTGGGGCTCCACGGGGCCCCGGCGAGAGCGTCCGCAGGAGGGGCCCCGTCCAGTTCGGCACCCCCCCCCGCGCGGAACGTTCCAGTTCAGGAGCTCCGTAAACAGACAGAACGTCTGCAAACGGGAAAGCGTTCACTTCGTAACACCGCGTCACGCGGATCGTGCGCCATAGGGAGATTCCCCCTACGGCCTCCGTTGGGGCGTCCGCGTGCGGACCTTCTGTACATTCGGTACCCCCCTCGCTCGGATCGTGCCACCATGGCGTCACGGTGGGCGCAGTCGCATGCAAGCCTCCACCCAGTTTGACGCAGCGCCCTGTTAGTAGTGCCTCGCGGATGCAGTTGGCTAGTTCAAATATTTGTAGGATTTTGGCGCAAGAGCTTCCCGGGTACAGGTCCATATATTCTCGGCTAGAGCCGAAGCCATCCGATTCAGAGTTGTCGCGAATTGGCATCATCCAAAGATGTCAGCTTACAAGTAATGCGCTTGTGCGTCGACCCATCTAATTGAACATTTGCATTCGGCTTTCCAGCTGGACATATTCCAATGACAGGGGCGGGGCGAGACGGGAATGGGAGAGATGAGTTCGGACACGAACTTTACAGCATGCGGTGATTAGAGATCCTTGCTGGCATACTGTCGGTTTTGTTTCCCATGCCTCTCTCCCAAGCGACCCGCTGCCCAGCGTGCACACAATAGGGGTTATGTTGGACACCATCTCAAAGTACCAAGCGTTGTTTGTCAAATATGGTGCTTTCTGTGGGCACAGCTTGCGCAGGTCAACAAGGAGATCGCCATCCTGCGGACATGCGCGCACGTGAACGTGACCGAGCTGCACGGCGCCTACGAGGCCACTAGGGGACGGGTGCTATTGATGAGGAGTCCCTCGCTTGTGCCTGGTTCTGGGCCCTGCCTCCAGGCTGCGGGAGCGCCAAAACAATGTGTTTCGAAGTGGCACTGATCCTGAGGAAATACAGGCATCCGACTTAGATGTTCGTTGTGGAAACCTTCCTGGGCCTATACAATGGATCTGTTCGACTCCTAGGTCGATTCTAGCTCGACTTACGTTCCACTCAAGTTCCGCTGAAGTCGATGTATGTTCGGCACCAGGAAGGTCTCCATAACGAGCTTCTTATCCGACGGCATCGTATCCGACGCCTTGCTTTTGTTCACATCGTGACCCCCCAGATCCCTTCCCCAGAGGTGGCTTTTCGTTCCGAGTCGCTGTCTGACGGTCCCGGGGCCCGGTGCGCTTCCCCAAGGACCGAAAATTGACAGAAACTCTACGTCGTGAGATGTTCCGCATCGCGACCAGGTCTGGGAAGCCTTGGGGTACGTCGGGGGCGTTGGTCAACGAATGCGCCCAGGAGGCTGCAGACCCTGGTGGATTCCTTATCTCATGAGGGCGGCGGTGATATCCATGGCCAAGCCTCGATTGGAGTTCCACAAACTTCGACCCTGGAATCTTTATCCAATGGTTCCTTGTCCAATGCCCTCACAGTCGCGCTCCCCTGGGGTGGTCCTGGGGTGCGCCGCGGGCGTGTGCTAGCGCAATTAAGTCGGCGCTGCGTTTGGAATTCGTTGCTCGCACAGGTTTCGGCCCTCGAAGAGAGAAACAAAAATGCCCTCACCGTATCCAAGTCCCGTTTCCATATGCCCAACTCGGACGCTCGACGGAGCGGGACCAGGCAGCCGCCCCCGCGGCCGCGATCTCCGCCCGGGCGCGGCGCGGTGGTGCGTGCCCGAGGCGGAGAGGACCGGTGTGCGCCTCGGCTGCGCGTGAGGTCCTGTTTCCACCTGGGCAGGCCCCGACTTTCCCTCCGGAGTGGCCCAGAGGGGGGTGATGATTAGGGAGGGGGGATATCATTCAGAGGAGGACAAGGTACCCATACCGCTACCTTCCCCTCGTTTTCCCCTTTTTGGGCCTCCTGGGCCTCCGTCATCGCCACCGCTGGATTCGCCTCGAAATCCTTATTAGAACGCACCCCAGGAGAGGTCCGGGGAGTAGCGGTATCGGTACCTTTTGGTGTCCCCGATCATGGCGTGGGCCATGATACTTCCTCAGATTTCATAGCGACCCCTTTTGTTTCATTACGTCCCTCCACCCCCCTGAGCCGCGCACGTGCCGCTGGCCATGATTTGTGCCCCCCCCCCCCCCCCTCTTGGACGCCCCCCTCTTGGCCGCTCCCGATCCCCAAGGGTGGCTGGAGCCCACGTTTGGGTCCGCGTAGGCTCTGGGCCGCCGCGCGGCGCCCACAGGTAGTGCCTACTGGTGCGTATGACTGTGCTGTCTGCTGTGGGCGTTCTCGAGTCTCATCGCGGCGTGGAGTGCGTCTCGAACCCATCAGCCCTTCAGCCCGGCCGCCCCCGCGAGCTCCCCGCGGCCCCGCCGCGTGAGAGTGCCCCCGCGTCCCTTCCCCTTCCTCCGCGGCTGCCCTTTCGTCTCCCTTCATCCCCTTGTGGTCTAATTCGCGACTCCGCAGCCCAGTATTGCTCCGCGCGTGAGCGGATGGCCTCTGCCGCGCCGCGACGTTAAACAAGTGTTGGTACCCTGACGTCCTCGCGCCGCAGAAGGATCACGACGAAAATAGTCTGGGCAGCTTTCGGCACCTGGGGGCCCTTACTGGGCCCCAGGCCGTCAACCAACCGACTCGGGAAGAAAAGAGGCAGTCCACGGGAAGGGTTCCAGATCTTTCGGGGGCCACGTTGAAAAACATCCGGCGTCAGACGTCCGGGTATGCAGACACGGCGTGGCACAAGATACCAGATGTTTTGATTGCTCCAAAACGGGAGCCCCAGAAGTTCCGCACTCCACTGGAAGGCCTGCTTTTCACCCTGCGTTGTTTTTTGTTGCAGTCCTGGGGCCGGGCAAGGGCCTCCAGAGTTTGAAAAATGGCAAGCGGAAGCCTCCGATGCGGTCCGACGCTCCACGCGCCGGGGGGGGGGCGTTCCTCGGACCAGAGCTCGGGCCTCCAGCGGCCGTCCGGGACGCCGGGCACCCGGAGGACGCCGCTGGCGAGGCGCAGTTGCCGGCAAGCGTCCCGAGGCGAGAACGCCTTCAGCCAGCGAGCACCTGCGGCTGCCCACGGCCAGGCTTGTGGCGGTATGGCCACTGCGGCTGCTGCGGAGACTCCGGTCGGACGGGGCTTCCGGTGCGTCCCCGCGCGTCGGCACCGAGCTGGCGTGCAAGACTTCTCCGTGCGGTGCCCGCTCACCACGGGTTCTGGAGAACGCCGCGCACGTGACACGCCAACGCGCACGAGGAGGAGAGTGAGAGGGCTGTGGGTGGTCCGGAGGCCCCCCCCCCATGGTGAACCAAAAGCAGCGCCACTGTTTCTCACCGTCTTCGGCCCCTGGGTGCTGACACTGGGCCCCAGGATGAATCGTCAAAAGTTGTTCTGCACAGCGAAGCCTTCGAGGAAAGAGTCAAGAGTTCTGGGGGCCCAATCTTGAAGCAACCAAGACGTCGGATATCCAGGTCGGGGCTCCCTGAGGTCGGCGGCAGAAGCGGGGGGTGACAGTACGGGGTTCCGAGAGGGATGCGTGTAATCCCCCGGGACAATCTGCCAGTCTTTCTCTCCCGAGACAGGGCAGATCTGCTAGTGGACCCAGTCGAAAGAGCCCGCGCATGCCCGCTCCGTGACGCTCGGACATGCCTCGGCGATCCGCCCGATTACAGCTGGCTTTGGACCGACAAGGTTGGTTGCCCCCTCCGCCCTTGAAGACTCTTTCCTTCCCTCCGCTTTCTTCTGCCAGCATGTAACACCATCGCTCTCTGATGCTCCATATTCTCTCTCTCTCTCTCTCTCTCTCTCCCTCTCTTTTCTATTTCCCTCTCGTTGTTTGTTTGTGCTCTCTCTTTCTGTTTCTCTTTTTTCCTCTGTTTGTTTATTCTCCATTCGTGGCTTGCGCTGAAAGGTTCCTAGCGGAGATTGAAAGAGTAGGCGACTGTACGGCGCCGACTTCTGTATAGGCGGCCCGGTTCCCGAATTCCTGGTTCCAGGTTTCCTGGTTCCCGGTGCCAGGTTCCGATTTCGGTGAGCGGCCAGATTTATGGGTTCTCTGTTCCGAGTCTGGAGTTTCCAGCGTTGTGAGGTTCCTGTGTTCTCGAATTTTCGTTTGCGGCCAAGTGCCCAGGTTCGGCTCCTAAGAGTGCTTCAGTCGAGAGTGAGGAATGAAGAGAACATATGTTAGCCAGCGTGGACCCCGAACAGTGTGTGTTTCTAACAATATGTGTAGCGCTATCTATGAGGACCACTTGATATTGTGCAATCAATGTGGCATGATCTATGTGATGCGACCTATGTGTGCCAATAATGGTGGTGCAATCGATGTGGTGCAATTCACCGATGCGTGCAGAGAGCTATCAACTTCACTGCTAGGGCTAACCCTAGGGGGTACCCCCAGGCCTACCATAGGCCAACCCCTGGGTTCTACCTGCAGGCCTGCCATAGGCATACCCCTAGGGGCTACCCCAGGTCTACCATAGGCCTACCTCTAGGTTCTACCTGAGGCCTGCCCTAGGCCTATCCCTAGGGCCTACCCCCAGGACGTTCCTATGCCCATCCTTAGGACCCTAGCGCATCCTGAATCTTCCCCAGGGCCTAGAAGAGGCCGTACTCCAGGCTAGCTAGGGTTGGGCCTACCCTAGGCTGCCCTAAAGCCTAGGGTAGGGCCTAAGGTAGCCTACCCCCTCTGGGATCTACGTATACCCGACGACGACGACAGCCGACGATGACGAGCAGAGGAAGGTGGACGCCCCCAAGAGCCCTCCCCGCCCGCCGTGCTCCAGAACCGCCGTTCCTGAACACGTGTCGAGGACAACGGCGACGAAGCCAGAGACGTTGCTCCGAGGCGGGAATTTGTTTATATCCACCGCCCAGGGGGTCAGTGTTCGGAGCCTCGGCAGGCGGTGGATATGGACATCTTCGGGCCCCCGGGGGTCGATATATATATATATCTATATATATATATACACACATACATATATATATATATATATATACATATATATACATATATATATATATATATATGTATCCATATCCACCGCTCGCTCTGGCATTAGGACGTCGGTTCCCGGGCGGTGGGTATGGATAGATCCCCGCCTCGCAGTTGTGGACACGGAGGGAGAGACGGAATAAAGGGAAGATGGGGGAGGTATAGTACAACAGACCTTTCCTTCACCTCTGCAGGATCCGCCCGAACATCAGGCAAGCGTAAACGATAATCACCGAAAAGATACCACGGGATAGTGTTGCCGTCTCCGGGGTCGACTAGAACCCAAGCGCGCGCGAAGCGCGCGTGGTTGTAGTACATACGTATGTACACACGTATTCATGCGATCGCACACATGGATTAAGGGGGCGTGGATTAGCGACGGGTCCCGTTTCGATGGGAAATCGCGGATTCCCGCCGCCGAACGAGGCGGCACCGGCCGCATTCTGTGGAGGGCATTTCGCCCGATCCATGGGTTTGGCGACCGCGCGCCAGATCCATGGATCGCGAATCCATGTCTGCGCGCCCCCGACGTGTGTATGGTTGTGTTGGTGCTCCCCCAGGTGTCTCGCATGAGGCAAGCGATCCGCATTGCCCCGCTGTCCTTCGCAGGCCTAGAGGTTGACACCAACACCAATTTCGGCGGTGTGTCTCCACCGAGGGAAGAGGATCCCGATCTCGGTGATGGTGGTAATATTCTGGCTTCCAGGGCGACCGAACTATTGCCACCGACACCGAAATCCAGGATCCTCTTCCCGCTGTGGAGGCAACCTCCCTGTGTTGGTGCTGGTGCTCATTTCCAGGCCTACAAGTCCTGCCAGCCTCCGCCACACACACACACACACACACACATCGCACGGGCCTCCTCGCGATATCCACGGCTCGAGGACGCCAACTGCATCTACCTCGCGCTCGAGTACTGCGACGGCGGGGACTTTGCCGACAAGGTCAAGGATCGGCGCCTGCCACGGGCCGGGGTCGACAGAGAGAAGGGCGCCCTGGCTCGCCCTTGCCTCCAACCCCCCCCCTTGCTTGGCATCGCTCGGACGTGTGCATTTTTCCTTCGGCGAGGACCATCGAGGAGCATCCTTGATCATTTGGCGAAGCAACCACGCACGAAACCGAAAAAAACACAGGAAATGAACGTCCGAGAGATGGCCAGAGGATCGGCGCCTGCAACGGGCCGTGGTCGACAGAGAGAAGGGCGCCCTGGCTCGCCCTTGCCTCCAACCCCCCCCCCCTCCCTTGCCCCTCGTTGGCGGCCGGGCGTCGGCGCTGATCACCAGCGCCGCCTCGTTGATTTTCAGCATGGCGCTCGCCACCCCGCGATTCGCCCGAGCAGGGGAATATTTGTTTCAAACACGCGCCCCCCACGTATATGTTACTTACAAGCTGACATTACCCACTGGTTCTCCCAGCCGTCTTCCCCCTCATCACCGATCTCGTTCTCGTGGTCGTTTTCGTCCCCCCGATGGATGAGACAGAGAGGGGGGACACGGACGAGGATGCGGAGGGCGATCTGGGTGGAATGGGAAGGCTGCGAACATCTCTCATCGTGAGGGAAGGGTTTTGGGGGGACGGACAGAAGACTGAAGATGATTTTTAGAGGGATTAGCGTGGTATGTTCTCAGCCCATCCCGTTTTTTTCTTTTCCCGGCATCTCTTCCCATTGCGGCGCATGCAATGTATCTGCCCGTTTCCTGCATGTCCCGGGCTCGTGAGAAGAGGTTTTGCAATCTGTAGCAAGGCGGGTACCAACGGATACGTAATGAGACGCATCTGGGACAGCCACATATCCGAATTCTTTTCCCTCATGTTGAATGTAATAGGTAGGTCGTTCGTCAAGTTGCTGCGCTCTTCCCTCATCTCTCAGCATATCGGTCGCAACATGATGGTTGCCGGCACGACAGGCCTTTGCCTCAGTTCAACGCTCGGCCTGACTCTGGGCATTCCTTCAGTCAACGGCGGAAGCAGCTAGGATCGGTGTATCTGGAACGCAAGCGAGCAAGCTCATGTCCACGACGGAGGTCGCGAGGGAACGGGCGAAAAAAGGCACGTTGTCGACCGTCGCTCTTCATCTGTGATCCTAAACGCGCCAGCGCCCGTCACCATCGACAAGGGTCTGGCGAGGGTCAGGCTGAGAGCTGGTGCTCGAGCAGCGCCGCCGCTGCAGAGTGGATTAAGCGCCGCCCTCCAGGGAGCGCGCCTCGTCGGTTTGTTAGGGTGCAGTTCCTGGGAGGTTAATTTCAGCATCGGTGCTTGTGTATCCGTGGTCGGCAACAGGCCGAATCCCACACAATCCTGCACAATTCCGTTTCATCCCGCTACGTGAGGCTTACTCGGGCCTAGGTCCCGGGCTTTAAATTGGAAGCCTGGTTCGATGCCCATTGAATCGCGCTTCATCAGTTTTAAACAAGCTTTTGCGGGGGCGTCGGTTCAAGAACGTGCCCTGGTGGCATGAGGCCCTCGAGGATCCCTTATCGGATCAGGGCGGCGGAAAAATCCATGGCCAAGACCCACTCATTTGGCCGATGCACAATTGGAGTTCCACTTGCTTCCAGACTCCGGATTCCTTATTCAAGGCTTCCTTATTCAATGTCTCCGCCGTAGATTGGGGGTGAAAAATGGAGGGACAGTGATGGCTGCAGAAAAGGGGCCCTTGCGGGCCCCTAAAGGGAGGCCTTGCGGGCCCCAAAGGAAGCCTTTCGGGTCCGAAAAGGCCACCTTTCTCCCCGCCCCGCCCAATTTTTGCCTCTCCATTAATTCGCGCTCAGATTTGTTCAATGCGTTGGATCTCTCGGATCTCACGAAGACCTTTTAGGGTTCGCATGAGGCAACTCCTAGATTAGTTTCGGATGACTCGTTGCGGACGGGGTTAGGACGAGGAGACATCCGTTCCAGAGCGTTCGGGAACGCTCTGAGAGGGCCGCGGCGCCCGAGATCCTCCCGAGCCGCCGTATCTCAGAGATTCCCTATGGATTACCTGGTGTTCTCCTCGTCCTGGCTTCGACTGATCGTTCTCGCGAAGGCCTCCCAAAGAGCTGCCTCCCAGGGGAGGCCCAGGGCCCCCATGGCGCTGCCCCTCGCGTCGCTCGACGCGCGGCGCGACCAGTACCAGCCCCTGCTGCCCGCGGAGGCCGACTCACGCAAGAGCGACCCTGCGTAGGAGTGACTCGTTTGGTGCAGGCTCACCGCCCCCACCCCGCCCCCGATCGCTCAGCGCGATGCGATGGTGGCTGCTTGCGCGCTCAGGTTTGGCCACTCTGCGCCCCACTCATACGGTGGGGGGCCATGCCAAGAAGCGCCCTGCTTGCCTCCAGGGTGCCCTGGGTTTCTTGGGCTTCGATGGCTTTGCTATGGAAGGCGCGACGTTCCCACACCAGAAATCCATGGACGCCCTGGGGTCGCAGGGTTGGGCTTCTTGCGGAATGTTTCTTGTGGACCTTAGCCTCCACTGCAATCCGCGCGCTAAACGCCGCTCCTGCCGGGGGGTCCCTCTTGCGTGTAGCCGAAGAGGGCACCCGCGCCGCGCGCCCGCGCTCCCGCGGCCGCGGCCGGGAGTGGCGGGGGCTGCTCGGCGGCCGGGCCCGCGGCCGGGGCTACGACCTCCTGCAGGCCCCGCGGCCCACCAAGACCAAGCCACCCCCACCCAGCGACGAAAGCCCTGCCTGAGATCCTGGCGTTGCACTGTGTGGCTCCCATCGCATCTCAGGACCACACCCCAAACAAGGGCTCCCACGAGGGCGCGAAGTTATTCGCGCTTCGCGGTCCTCGTTCCTTCTCCCCCTACTCCTCGTCCTCCTTTCCTCCCTTTGGGAGGGCGGCGCGAGAGCGCGAAGTTATTCGCGCTTCGCGCTTCGCGCAGCGCGAAGCGCGAAGTTGGGAGCCCTAGTTCCTGGTGCTCGAAATTCTTCCTGGTGATCAGGGCCGGATAAGCGTTGCACTGAGCTCTCACCACGGGCGTCTGCGACTGACTTCGGGCCCCACAGCTCTCACAGATCGATGGGGCTGGAAAAGTGGCGCAGACAGATGGGGCCCATGTCTCCCGTCGAGGTTTTTGTCGACGTTTCAATTTTTCGTGCCGTCGGATCTCGGGGCTGGACCCCCCCAAATTGCGGCATTCAGATAAAAAGACGCCGAGCTCTGCGCGGATTCCTCGGATCGGCGCGGGGGCCCCCGTCTTTGGCGTACCCAGACATGCTCGCGTCCTGGCATGAAGCAACGGAACAAGTGTTTTGGGGCAATTCTGGTGGGCCTCTGGGGGCCGTTATTGGGCCTCGGGACCGTCAACAACCGGTCCCGAGGAAAGTGTCGGGACTTCCGCGGATCCCAGAAATTTCGGGTTGGGGGTTCGAGGAACAAAGGATTCCATAGCCATAAGAACTCGGAGCTCCGCGCGGATCCCTCGTATCGGCGCTGGGGGGCCCTGGCGGCGCTTCGGGCGAGGCCCCTCGCGCGCTCCGCGCGCCAGCGAGGGGGGTTTAGCGCCGATCCGAGGAATCCGCGCGGACATCCGAGTTCTTGTTATGCTGATGTCATTGTCTGTTCCCCTAGGGGTGTACAGTCAACCCGCATGGTAAGGATGAGCGACTTTCCAGGGTTACCCTTGCATCCTTGCCCCTTCGGCCCACACCTGGCAGCCTTCGCTGGCCAGCCCCACTCGAACGAAAACGTGAAAATGGCTTTCCGAGGCCCTTGCATCCTTACCGCGCATCCTTTTTTCATACACGCGCATATCTATATATACATATGGGTGCTATATATGTTATATATATACACATATGGGTGGACTGCACGGTGTCCATCGTGTCCACCGCGGGCGCGCGCTCTCCTCCCCCTGCCCCCCCTCCTCCCTCCCCCGTCCCTGTGCCACTGGGCCTCTTCGCGCGTGTGACACGAGGGCGCCCGCTCCATCGTCTGGAGTGCCCCCCTCCCCCGCCGGTAATCGACGCGCCCAGCGGTGACTCCGGGCTGGGCTGGGGTGGATGTGTTGGCAGGCAGTCCGCAGGGCGCCGACGCTTCCAGCGACAGCGAGGAGGCTGCCCCGGCGCTGTCCGCGGCGCCGCGCCAGATGGACATGTCTGCGCCGAGCCACAGGACGGGAGGGAAAGCTCCAGGGCGCCGGCGGTCCCTGCCGCGCCCCCCGCCTTGGGCCCCGGAGCGCGTCCACCCCCACCCAGACCTCCTAGGATGATTAGTTATTTCCTCTCTCTCTCTCTTCCTTTTATATATATATATGTATAAGTATATGTATACATATACATATACATATATATATATACATATATATATACATTCCCCCAACCAGTGCAATCAGTGCTTGCACTGAAGGGGTCCTAGCGGAGGTGGAAAGATTTGGCGAACGTTTCCGGCGGATTTTGGTAGCCCGCGGGGTTCCCGGGTTCCCGGTTCCGGCTTCCCAGGTTTCTGGTTATTGGTTCCGGGCCGATTTCGGTGGGTTCCTGGATTCTTGGCCCATCTCAAACCATCGAATGATTGGGGTTCTTCTCTGGTGTAACATATACATATATATATACATACATACATACATACATACATACATACATACATACATACATACATCTATAGAAACAACAACGGGCGCATTTGCTCGATGTCATGCCTCCGGGGCCCGTTACTGGGCCGTGGGAGCTTCTAAAATCAATTCGGGGCGCAAAAAACACCCCCATGGGGGCTAGGTCGGGACCTCTGGGGCCACGGCTTGAAAACATAATGTCGGAGGATGTCTGGGCCCCTCCAAGTCAGAGGAGGCTGTGCTGTCCGGCGGAGGGGGGAAGGGGAGGGGAGAAGCAGGCAGCAGACGACGGCGACCGCACAGGCAGGAGGCCGGCGGGGCGGGCGGGCGGGCGGAAGGGGGGTTGGGCGAAGACAGCAGGCAGGTGAGAGGAGGAAAAGGTGCGGCGGGGTATGCATGGCCAAGCCTCAATTGCCGTTCCACCAGCTTTCAGACCCTGGATTCTGGTTCCTTATCCAAGGGTTCCTTATCCAATGCCCTGGTATCGGTTTCGCCTTTTTGGGCCTCCTGGGAGGCCCTTGTCGCCACCGCTGGATTCGCTTCAAAATCCTGGTCAGAGCGCACCCTATGAGAGGTCCGAGGGGTAGAGGCATGGGTAGATCCCTGCGGCGCCCGCTTCTGACCCCGGGGTCGCGTCCCCCCCTCCACCCCCAGGGCTATGTGGGCCCAGACATCCGACGTCGCGGTTCCCCATTCAGGTTTTGCTTAAGGAGGAGGAAGAGGAGGAGGAGGAGGAGGAGGAGGAGGAGGAGGAGGAGGAGGAGGAGGAGGAGGAGGAGGAGGAGGAGGAGGGAGGGAGGAGGAGGAGGAGGAGGAGGAGGAGGAGGAGGAGGAGGAGGAGTCTTCCCCTTTCCTTCTGCGCGTCAACTTTTGATCGGCGCGTCCCGCCCGTGGCCCGACCAGCGCCGGACCGCTTCCGCACCTTTGCGCCCGCTGATCTTCACTCTGTTCCGGAAGCCCGCGGGTGCGGGGTCGGGGGCGTCCCTCGGGGTTGCCAAGTGTTGCTCGTGCATTGTCAACCTACGCCAGCAGCGCCAAGCAATGCCGAGCAATGCCAAGCAACAGACATCGATGCGCAATGCCAAGCAACGATAACAGGCAATACAAAGGCCAATGCCAAGCAATGCGGAGGCCAATGCCACTTAGTGGCAAGCAATGCGACGCAACGCCAAGCCATGCCAAGCAATGCCGAGCGTTGTCCATCAACGTCAAACAATGCAAAGCAGCGCCAAGCAATGCCAACCAATATCAAGCGGTGTCCAAGCAATGCCAAGCAATGCCAAGCAATGCCAAGCAATGCCAAGCAATGCCAAGCGACGCTAGGTAAGGCCAAGCAGCGCCACGCAATGGCAAGCAACGGTTAAAACCAATACCCAGCAATGCAAAACAATGCCTATCAAGTCCACTGGCAAGCAATGCCAAGCAGCGCTCTACAATGTCAAGCAACGCCAAACTATGAAATGTTAGGCGATGTCAAACAATGGCCTCAAGCAGTGTCAACCATCGCCGAGAAATGCCAAACAATGCAAACCTAATGCCAAGTAATGTTTAGAATTGCTTTGCATTGCTCAGCGTTGCTTTGTATGTATGTGGAAGACCCTGCTTGGGGCCTCGCAGGTTTGATGTTTTGACAGCCTGGCTCCTGAGAGGTCTAGCCCCCTTCCATGAGACCGGTTTTCAGGGTTCCGCGGGGACCGAACACGGCATCAAACCTCCGCATTGTTTTGTTAAGTGCGTTTGTAGGTTTGGTTTGCGGGCCATAGCTCGGGTCTCCGGCGGCATGGCTGGCAAGATCAGGTGGTGCGGTTGCCGCGCGAACAGCTGATGTTCGCGTAGTACTATCTTGCGAGTTGCACCATGTGGTCGTGGTCCGTTTCCTCCTCCATGCATTATGATATTGCAGTTTGAATGCTCATTCGGATTGCGGCGCCACGCGGGGACAGCACATCGTCGGAGTGGAACACGAAATCCGCGTTCAAAGGGGAAGCGCGTGTGCTGGCGAAGGGTGGGGGGGCTTACCACGGACACTTCATATGTTTGTTCTTTGGCAGTGGCTGCAGCGCTGGTAGGACGCCCGGCCCGTGTGACGGCATTGGCTTGCAGGCTGCACGCTTGACAGTGCACTCCAAACATTTGGGTCGTAGCGCTCGTTCGTCCTCCTCCTCCTCCTCCTCCTCCTCCTCCTCCTCCTCCTCCTCCTCCTCCTCCCCTGGCCAGGCCCTGGGGCCGACCAGAGACCGCTCGTGATGCAGAGCCGGTCCGCTGGAGTGGGTCGAGACTTCTCCGGGGACCCCGCACCCCGACATCCTCTGGTCGGATTCTTTCAATCCGCGGCCCCAGAGCTCCCGACCCCTTCCCAGGGGGCAGGTCGGCGGCCCCGATTCATTTTTGATGGTCCTGGGGGCCACTAATCAACGGGCCCCCACTCGGAGGCCGACATCGAGGAGCTTCGCCCGGACGGGAAACTCCTATCTTCGGAGACCTGGGTGTGGAAGCAACCCAGGACATCCCGCGCCGCCTGGCCGAGGCTCACGCAGTGGTGAGGCTGTCTGGCTTGCCTCTAGGCCCACCAGAGAACTTTCGAAGAACCGGTTGTGGTCTGCACGGCATGTTCCTAGACTTCTGGCTGAGACCTCCTTGAGTTCATACATCGGGTGGATGTTCTATGAACCGCGTTGTTGCTCTTAGAGCATGATTTGGTTATGAGGGCATGTCGTGGTACCCAGAGATCCGATGTCGTGTTTTTTTCCATACGCGGTCGCCCGAAGTCTCGGCCGGTAAGGGCCCCCAGAGGCCAAAAATAACGAAAAACCTCCCGTTGTGATTTTTTGATGCAGTCGGGCCGCTGAAGCAGGAACCCTTTTCGTTTGGGAGGGGCTCCGTGTTCCTTTGTTGTTTTGCAATGCTCCTTGGGTTGTCCCGAGGTTTTCAATGGAAAATCGGAGTTTCACTTATGGGAAAAAAGGGACCTCGTTCCTTATCTATCGCTCCTTGGGTCAAGGCCCCGACTGCAACTCGAGGGGGCCTGGGACTCGAGGAGGGCCGGGGCGGCCGGCCCCCTCCTCCCATGAGGCGGCGGCGGCCCCGCCGGCGGCAGCCGCCGCGCCCCGGCAGCCGCGGCGCCGCCGCTCGCGCCGGCGCCCCGCCGGCGGAGGCCCGCGCGGGCGCCGCGCGCGCCGGCCAGGCGCCGCGCCCCCAGACCTCCTCGAGTCATGAAAAAATCACGACGGGAGGTTTTTCGCTATTTTCGGCCTCCAGGGGCCCTCACCGGGCCTCGGGAGCGTCAAAAAACGACTCGGGATGAAAAACCGGTCCCGGGAAATGGGTCTGGACCTCTGGGGGTCGCGTCATGAAAAAATCATGACGTCGGGGGTCTGGGCCCACGGCCCCCCCGCCCATGGGGGTCGGGGAGGGAGGCAGGCTTTGTGGGCCCCGGAAGCGGCAGGGCCGTTGTTTCACCGTCTCCAAAGAGATGTCCCTTGAGAAAGGAAGCGGCAAGACAACGGCGACCGGAAACGGCAGAAGAACGGCTCCAGGATTGGAGCCGGAGCCAGAACCGGTCAAAAAACGGCGACGGAACCCGTAAAGAAACGGCGTCGGAACCAGCAACAAAAAACGGCAAAACGGAACCGGTAACAAAAACGGCGTTTTCGTTTCCAACCCCCACTAAGGCCCCAGGCCCCCCCGAGTTACAGTCGGGGCGCTGAAGAAGGAACCCTTCTCGTTGGGGAGGGGCTCCGTGTTCCTTCATTGTTTTGCAGCTTGCCTGAGGTTTTCCTTCGGTTTTCGATGGGAAGTCAAAGTTGGACTTATGGAAAAATAAGGCCCCGTTCCTCATTTAGGGTTCCTTAGGTCAACGCCTCGACTGTATGAAAAAATCACGACGGGAGGTTTTTCATGATTTTTGGCCTCCGGGGGCCCTTGCTGGCCCTCGGGGCCGTCAGAAAACGACTCGGGAGGAGAAACCGGTCCCGGGGAAGAGGTCCAGACCGCTGGGGGTCGACGTCGTGCAAAATGCATGGCGTCGGGGGTCTGGGACGCCCGAGATGGGTACGGAAAGGGAGGGTGCAGTGCCCACCAGCAGTTCCTGTTCCTCTTGACCGGGACTCGCAGTCCACGCCGCCGCGGCCTGTGTCCATTCGAGACAGGAGGCCGCCTGCCCAACAGCGGCCGCTGTTGGTTTAGGACAACGTTTGTTGTTGGGCATGGTACCCATGTTTTCCGTACCCATTTCGGGCGTCCAAAGGAATAGCCAGGACCTCAGGTGAGGGGGCCCGGTTTGTGGTAGAGCACTGGAGCCATTGAATTGGCCAGAATCACCAAACCAGGTCTGCCGTAGCTTGTCTTCTTTCGGGTGACGGCAGTTCCGGTTAGTGGAACGGGGCGGGGGGGGGCGTCCCCCAGTACACATCATTCAACCAGGTCCCACTGAATCCAGTTCTGCCAACGCCCGACAGGGGCCCCCCCCTCGGGTGAGGACAATAATCAAGTCGGGCCTGTCCCGCTAATTACAGGGGGGATATTCAAAAGTAGTCAACACATAGTCTGGGGACGATTTCTTGGGCATTGAATGACCATTGTGGGGTATTTTTAAAAATTTTTCGCCAAACATCCCCCTGTAGGGGGACAGGCCCGACTGAAGACCAGAATAACGACGGGAGGTTGTTCGTTACTCTTGGCCTCTGGGGGCCCTCGCCGGGCCTTGGGGACCGTCCAAAACGGCTCGGGCTGGAGAAACTGGCCCCGGGGAATAATAATCCGCTGGCGCTCAGCTCGCTGAGAGTAGAACATCCTTTGGGGCGGAAGAGCCCGACCGTGTTTTTGTTGTTGTTCTGTCGGTTGTGGTTTGCGAGAGTGTCATTCTTCAAACCCTTGAGATTTGAAGCTGAGGTATTTCAGCTCGCTTCGTCCCCTCACTGGACGGCTCCTTTCCCCGAGTGAGACGCAAGTCCTTCCATAGGTGGCCAGCATTGCGCCTACCGCGCCTCCTAGACAGTTGAGGATGGGGTCGTCCACGAGGAAGCAGAAGTCCGATGGTGGCCTAGCCGTGGAGAACACCACCGGTTGCTGCTGGTGCAATTGTTGCAAGTGTGTGCGGCAGGATGAGTACGTGGCCGGGGAGAACTTCGGCAGATTTTCTCACATTCTGAAGCCTGGTTTCAATTGCTTGGGCATCGATGCATGCGGTTGCTGTGTCCAGCTGGCCAAGATCTCAAGAAGGGTTCACCAGACTACGGTGACCACGCAGGCGGTCACGAAGGACCACGTGTCAGTCGCCGTCAAGGTCGCTGTGCAGCAGGCGGTTAGACATGATAAAATCTATGAGGCTTTCTACCAGTTGGATGACATCAGTCGGCAGGTAGAAGCTTTCGTTGCAGATGCGGTCTTGACAGAAGTACCGAGCTTGACGCTGGAGGACTTGTTTTTGCAGATGGACAGCATGGGCCTGAAGGCGCAGACAAGCCTGAGGGAGTCTATGGCTCCCTTCGGCATTCAGGTTCTCCGGGTGCTGATCCTGGAGGCCAAGCCCGATTCGGAGGTTGCCAGCTCCATGAACGAGATCATGATCCAGAGAAACGTCCGGAGTGCGACCATTACGGCAGCAGAGGCAGCAGCAGTGCGGTGCATCAAAGCTGCAGAGGCCAACGCGGAGGCTATGCGTCTTCGCGGGGAAGGCGCCGCTCAGAAGCGGGAGGCCATAGCACGGGGGCTCAGCAGCTGCGTGCTTGGAGGCGTCGACGCGCTGGACCGTTCTGCTGGCGTGGTGACCGAGCTACTGCTCGTCACGGAGTATTTCGACACCCTCCGGGAGATCTGCGCGCGCGGCACTGCAGAAGCAGTCTTTGTAAACTACGAGCGCGATCGGCGCAAGGGGGAACCAGAGGAGGGTTCACGCTCTCTGGAGGACGGCCTGATCGCCGCGCGCACACAGTACGTCCACGATCTCGTGCGACGTGCTTCCCTCAGGTGTGATAGGATCCACATACAGGAGCACCTCCTGTCGTTGGTGCTGCGGTGCGCCACTATAGTCGAGCGCCGGCAGCGCTTGAGGTCGCACGAGGCAGAGCCTCTGGCGCCTCTTCTCGATTCGGAGCGCAGGGCCGATCCACTGACTTTCGTGTAAAGTTGCCAGGCCATAGTCAGGCCTCGCACCATTGATTTGACAGCTAGGACCTCTCGGACGGGGCTAGGTTTAAGTCGGGCCTGTCCCCCTACAGGGGGATTTCCGACGAAAAATAAACAAATACCCCAAAAATAGTTAAAACAATAATCCGAAAATGCTCCAAAAATACTCTGGGGAGTATGTTTTGAGTATTTTTTTGCCTTTTTCGATAGAATATTTGTAGGATATTTTTAAGTTTTCGTCGAAAATCCCCCTGTAGGGGGACAGGCCCGACAGAAGGCTAGGACGAGGAGAAAGCCGCTCCGGAGCGTTCCGGCACGCTCTCAGAGCGTGCCGGGAGCGCTCTGGGAAGGCCACGGCGCCTGCCACATCCTCTAGATCTCCCGGGCCTCAGAGGTGCTCTCGATGCACCTTCGCCCGCTCTTTCTCCTCGTCCTGGCTTCGCCCTCACCTGCGCCCCGCCTCTCCCGCCCCGGGCCCTCGCCCGCCTCTCCTTGCCTGTGTGCCGGGCAGCGGAGTGGGCACGGGCCTCCGGGGCTTAAGCCCTCGGAGCCTCTTGGGCGTCGGCCTCCTCCCTCTCGCCGCTCGGGTGGGCCCAACATCGGAGGAGGGAGGTGCGACACCAACACCACCAGGGGGCCCACCTCCATCGAGGAGGTCCACGTTGCCTCCCCGAGCTTGAGGCCAGGGATGTCTCGAGCGAGGGGGGGGACCACACCACCAGGGAGGCGCCCCCTTGCTCCTCGCAGATCCTCGCCCTGTTGGTGTTGGTGTCGCCTTCACTTGTTTCTACACAACGGGGTCCAGCGACAAGGGGGTGGTGCAATAGATTTGGTGCAATCGATTTGTGGGGTTGCAATACATTCGGGGCATGCAATACATTCGGGGGCGCAGATGTGTTGCTGGATATTCGCCTGCAACATATTACTTGCAATATTATGCGGTACAACTCTCCGGCGCAATGCATTTGCAATACAATACACTTGCCCCAAGTCTATTGCATCACCCCCTATCAGCTGAACCCCCTTTTGGGTCACCCAAACCTTCGCCACACAGAGTTGAGCAGGTCCTGAGGCAAGCGGGTCCTGGGCGGTCTCGTCAGTGCGGGCTCTCGTGGCCCTCCCCCCGCCTTGAGGCCGTCAGGCAGAGCGACGCGGCATCAAGAGCCGGCTCTGGGGGGCACGACCCGGGATCCAGGACCCGCTTCCCTCTGGACCCGTATCCGTCGTGCCAGTTTCTCCTTCCTCGTCTGGCGGGAAGCGCCCTGTTGAAGGAGATTGTGGGCTTCGGTGGGCCATCAGCTGTGATCCTACGGCCTATGCCCACGCAGCGTGCTCTTCGAAAAGGTAAGTTCTGATGCGTCTTTCCCCGCGCTTGTCGTCCTTATCTTGGGTGAAACGGCCTCCTCCACCTGGTCTTGGCTAGGCCCAGGCGCCTTTCCGCACTGGTGGTCGCTTGCTCGCTCGCTCGTCTTCATCAATCGGAGAGGGGCACGGGCTTGCGCCAGTCCCTCCTTCATCCTTGGCCTAGCCAGACCGTCCTGCCTCCCTCCGTTTCATGCTATTAAGAAGCTTCGCTGTGGTGATATGCAGTGTTTGAGGTGAGGTGTTAAGCTGCTCTGCGTTGTGGGGAATACCATCCTTGGCCTAGCCGTGGTGCTTCGGACTGCTGATCTGGCAGGGGCTGGTCGTTTGCCACCTTCCCTGCCGTCCCGTCTCCCTTGGCTGTCCCCTCCCACTGCCTCCAGATACGCCGTTGATGCACCCCTCCCGTATTTCCCAGACCGTCCTTCCGCCTTCAGCTTGGAAGTCCACCCAGCTACCTCGCTCCGGTTTGCTCCCAGGGGGCGCGGAGCATAACCACAAAGAAACAGCACTGCAAAGGCAGTGCGCGTAAATGTGCTGGCCGAGTGTCCGTCGACTTTCGCCATGCTGGAAATGCGGTGGCCGGCGTTTCGGGGGAACCCGCCGATTTCGTTAATCGGAGCTCAAGAGACGGGGTCAATGCAAACGGGGGTCAGCCAGAGCGCCAGATTTTGCGGAATCCTGCAGAGCCAGGGGTGCATTGACCCGGGCTTGGATGCGGGATCTTGCTGGATCCTGCAGGACTTTGCAAGATCTTGGAAGGCCTGACTGGCCCGGGGTCTGGATCGACCTGGGCCAGTAGAAGCCCGACAGATGTGGGGACCATCGGGGAGTTCAGATCTCTGATGTTCCCCGCCGTCGTTCCTCGGAACATCGCCGACGTCGAGATCGTTAGCCCACACGCACAGATATCCACAACACGTAACAGTCTCGGGGGTTGCTAAAGGTGCCCCTGGCCCAAGGTGCCCCCAGCTTTTCAGTCCATGCTGGAGCCCCAGGGGCCCTCTGGACCTCGCGAGGGGTGCTCTGGAGGCCGGTGGGGGCCTCCGTGGAAATCCTGGGGCTGCCCTGGGGCCAGGGGCACGTCTGGCAGCACCCAGTCCAGGTCGCCCCCCCCCCCCCCCCTGGGGCGCGAAGACGGATCGCGCCTCGCGCGCCGCGGTGGTCTGGACCGGGGCGGCTGCCCCTCTCCAGGGGGGGGCGCTGCGGGGGCGCGGGGGGCGCAGAGGCTCCTCGCGCAGCGCGGGGCGCGAGGAGCGCCGTCGACGCCGTCGTCCGTGGGCTCTGCCCCAAGAGGTCTCCGGCGCAGTGGCCCAGGGCGGCCGCGGCCGTGCCCGCCGCAGCCTCCCTGGGCCTCCGGGGGTCGCTCCAGGCGCTCGGGGCCCGCGCGACTCAGCTTCCGCCCCTGAGAAAACGCACCGCGGTGACCTGGCCGAGTCGGTGGGAACATACTTAGGATTCTCAGTACAGGTCTGCGAATTCTGCACATTCGTCGGAGACTCGACGGGGAGAATCGAGATTGGGGTGGATCGATGCTATAGTCGATCCCCTGCTGGAAAACGGGGGACATGCCGACGCCCGTGCTGCCGCAGTGAGCGCGGGCACGCTGCCGCGAAGCGGGCCGCCAGGAGAAGGGCCTGGCCGTCCAGGAGGGCGAGGCCGCCGACTGGGTCCTGCAGATGTGCGAGGTCCCCGCGTGAACTCGTGAGGGGGAGGCAGAGGAGGAGCGGGAGGAGGCGTTCCGGGACGATGCGGAGGGCGAGGTGGATAAGGGACAGGGGGAGGAGGGGGAGAGGAGGAGGAGGAGGAGGAGGAGGAGGAGGAGGAGGAGGAGGAGGAGGAGGAGGAGGAGGAGGAGGAGGAGGAGGAGAGAGGAGGAGGAGGAGGAGGAGGAGGAGGAGGAGGAGGAGGAGGAGGAGGAGGAGGAGGAGGAGGAGGAGGAGGAGGAGGAGGAGGAGGAGGAGGAGGAGGAGGAGGAGGAGGAGGAGGAGGAGGAGGAGGAGGAGGAGGAGGAGGAGGAGGAGCGGGAGAGTGTGGCTGCGCTTCTATGGCATGAGAGGAGGAGGGGAAGCAGGAGGGGGAGAAGGGCATGCCCAGCTTCTAATGCGCCTGTGCGAGGCTCTTTGCACAGGACACTTTTCTGAAGATGATGGGAACACGTTGGCCGAGATTTCTGGCGAGCCTTCCCCGAGTCATCTTCCTTGTAGATTCGCTCTCCAGCGGGCTCCCCCCGTGTCGCCGCACAGACCAGCACAGTCCGACACCGCGTAGACAGTCATACAGTCAAGACGCTGAAATAAGAAACTGTTTGGGTTCGGAAGGGGCTCGATGTTCCTTAGGTTCCTCCAGTGCTGTTCCTCTTGCCCTCCTGGGGCACAGAGGCGCTTACAGGGCCAAGAAGGGGCTTCGTTCCTTATTTAGCGTTCCTTCTTTCAGCGGCCCGACTGTACGAGACAAACGTTGGGGCCGATACTTCCATACCCCCCTCGACGTCGTCCCATGCAGCGACGCAGCGATATAGTCACCATGGAGCGCTCACGCCACCGATCGGCAATGACGCGCGCAGGGTCGGACGCCACGGCCGGGACGGCAGACCTCCTTCTGCCGCGCGCGGTGCCGGCATCTGGAGAACGCCAGAGCCTCCGCGATGCCGCGCAGAACGCGCACGACTGGCGTCGACGTGTGAGGCACTGTATAGAGAGCGCCGCCCCCCCCCCACCCCCTCCGAAGGAGGCGGGGACGGGGGCGGAGGAGGGGATCACACAAACAATGGCAGCCTTGCGCCGCCGCCGGGCGACGTGCCGAGGGGCGCATGGCAGTCCTGCCCGCCTGTCCGCGGAGCCGTCCTCGACGAGTTGGGTGCACGCGCGCACGGGCGTGCGTGGCCGTGTTCTCCACCGCACCGGACTCTTCCGGGAGGGTTGCCGAGTCTGTTCCGCCATGGAGAGCAAAGGAGTCGTTAGACGACGGGGGCCCTGCTTCTTTTTTGTTTGCCGTGTTCGGCCTCTCGCGGGGCCCTGGACGGGCCTCGGGGGTCGTCAACAATATCCAGGGTGGTTGTCCCAGGGAAAGCCCCTGTGTCTCGGACCCGTTTTCCTCACGACCGCTTTCCCTCACGCAAACCATTGCGCATTTTCTTCTCATGGTCGGAAGCGGGTGGGTATCCAGGTATTGTCCTGGATGGTGTTATCGTTCTTATATCCGCGGTGCCGTGCTTCCTCCGACCACCACCACCAGCGTTTGGTCTCCGATGCAGCAGGACCAGCGCCGATGCTCAGCGGTCCCTCGTGGAGGAGGAGGAGGAGGACGAGGAGGAGGAGGAGGAGGAGGAGGAGGAGGAGGAGGAGGAGGAGGAGGAGGAGGAGGAGGAGGAGGAGTAGGAGGAGGAGGAGGAGGAGGAGGAGGAGGAGGAGGAGGAGGAGGAGGAGGAGGAGGAGGGGAGGAGGAGGAGGAGAGGAGGAGGAGGGAGGAGGAGGAGGAGGAGGAGGAGGAGGAGGAGGAGGAGGAGGAGGAGGAGGAGGAGGAGGAGGAGGAGGAGGAGGAGTAGGAGGAGGAGGAGGAGGAGGAGGAGGAGGAGGCGGAGGAGGAGGAGGACGAGGAGGAGGAGGAGGAGGAGGAGGCGGAGGAGATGGAGGATGAGGAAAAGGATGAGGAGGAGGAGGAGGAGGAGGAGGAGGAGGAGGAGGACGAAGGAGGAGGAGGAGGAGGAGGAGGAAGAAGGAAGAGGGGGAGGAGAGGGAGGAGGAGGTCGCAGGCCGCAGCTGGTTTGGCTCGGCATGCCTGCGTCTCGCCGGTGCCCCGGGCGCCGCCGCCACGGGCTGGCGCTGTGCTGCGCGGGGGCGCTTCGCTCTGCGGGCCCCGCGCGGCTGCTGGCTGCCTCGGCGCTGGCCTTTGCAGGAGGCCGCGCGCCCGCGGTGCAGCCGTGGTTGTCGCCGGGGCGCCGACACTCGGCCACGCGCAGAGGAGGGTACGGTGGTTGCGTGGCATGTCGACCGGCGGCGACCCCGCCCGCGGCGTTCCCCTTTGAACGCCGCGGGCGGCGTATAGGGGGAGGGGGGAAGCACCCCTGCTCCTCAGAAGGCGCTGGCCTCGTCTCTGCAGATGCAGGGCCCGCGCCTTCCAAGAAACAGCATCCTACCGAGAAGCCTTCCCTCCTCCCCCTGCAGCAGGACCGAGGTATGAGGTCGAGGCCGGTTCGGGGAGGGTTCTTTTGGTGCTCTTCGTGTTGGGTGGACGCTCTTGTGAATCCCTGAGGGGGGTTCTCCTTGGATGTTCTGCTTGATGTGGCCGAGGGAGGGCCGCGTGTTCTCGAGGGGTGCTCCCCTTGCCCAGGCCCCGACTGTACAGTCGGGGCGCTGAAGAAGGAACCCTTTTCGTTGGGGAGGGATTCGATATTCCTTAATTGTTCCACACCTTGTCTAAGGTTTCCCTTCTGTTTTCGAAGGGGAGTCAAAGTTTAACTTACGAAAAAAGGGGCCTCGTTCCTTATTTAGGGTTCCTTAGGTCAACGCCTCGACTGTACCCCCCTGTGCGCGCCGCCGACCTCCGCGGCGGCGCCATGGCAGCCGCGCTGGCTGGTCGGGGAGGCCGCGGGCAGCCCGGAGGCTGTGCGCCGGCCGCTGCGCTGAAGTCGGGCCTGTCCCTCTGCAGGGGGGGGGTATTCAAGAATAGTCAAAAGATAGCCGGGGGATAATTTGAAAGTATTTGTTTGAGCATTTTAGGTCATTTTTTGACTACAGTGAGGGCGCGCATCAAGAAACCATGTGCTTTTCGTCAGGGTATCCCGGGTTTCTTCGCTCCTCGCGCTGTGCGGTGACTTCCCGCAGCCGTTGAGGCAGCTGCTGCGTTCAGGGTGCTCCAGGTTTCCCCTCAGGTGCTCCTCGCGCACGGGTTCTCAGGGTTGGGTTTCTTGCGATGGTTTCTTGCGGCCGCGCCCGCACTGTATTCTTACGCCTTCATCCGGCATTCGCCTGCAGGGGGACACGCCCGACCTAACGCTGCGCTCATCGCCGAGGGCTTTGGGTGCTCCAGGGTGCCCCCGCTGCGGGGGCGCTGCCCCTCCCCCGCCGCCGCGGCTGGGTCTGCCTCGAGGGCCTGGCCCGGACGCGCCCCGGGAGTTCCGGAGGGTTCCAGAGGCCGAGCAGTGGCGAAGCGTCCCCGGCTCGCCCATAGCCCTACCAAACGGTGTTCTAACAACCTTTTGTGGTTTCCACGGGATGTCCTTAGAGAACATGTCTGATTGATATTGTCTTGTTTTACCACATCGGCTTTGCGTTCTAAGAACATTGCTTTTTGTTCTTAGACCAGCTTTGGGTTCTAAGAAACTTTCGTGGTAGGACCGTAGGAATGCCGGGACGGTCGGTCCCTGCTCAAAAAGGGGGTTTCTGGGGAGGGGGTCTTCCAGAGCCCCCCAGGGGCCTCGGAACCTTGTCAAGACAGGGGGTGCGAAGCCCCTGGGGGACCCCTCCTGGAAAACCCCCTCCCCAAAAACGCCTCTTTGGAACCCTCCGTGGAAGGGGCACGGAAAGAAGGGGCACGAAGACCGGCAGCAAGTTTTGTTCATATTGGACAGGGCTCGCTGTCGGCGTCGCGTGTCCAACAGCGGCCGCTGTGGGTTTGGGGCAACATTCGTTGTTGGGCATCGTGTCCATTTTGTTCCGCACCAATTTCGGAGGTTCAAAGTAGAGTAATCCGTGGCGTTTTCAGCGTCATTCCAGTCTTCCCAATCCGGCTTTTCTGGCCCCTGAATCGGGCTTGGCAGCCCTTCATTGTCCCCAAGGACCTCTCACCGTTTGCCTCCTGATCGTAGGTGTTTCTCTCTTCCTTGTGCAGATCCGATCTGCTCACCCGAGGCGTCCAGACGGACCCGCGCGCAGGGCCAACAGCATCACCACACATGCCCCACGCAACCCCAAACACGCATCTGCACACGGCGCGCACATCAGCAGACACGCAACACACCCAGCAACAATCCACACACACACACACACACGTAGATTATCCCACGAGTCCCACACAACCCTGCCCTGCAAGCATCCCCCGACCCAGACCCCTGACGTCATGAATTTTTCATGACGTCGACCCCCCGCGGTCTGGACCTATTCCCCGGGACCGGTTTTTCTTCCCGAGTCGTTTTTTGACGGTCCCGAGGGCCGGTAAGGGCCCCCGGAGGCCACAAATAATGAAAAACCTCCCGTCGTGATTTTTTCGTAACTCGAGGGGGCCTGGGCACACATCCCCGAGGCACGCCCGCAGGGCGCGCCGCGCGGCCGCGCGGCGCTGTCCGCTGTGGGGGCGCCCGAGCCGCCCGCGCTGCACTATGCGCTCGCGCGCGTGGAGGTGCTGTGCGCGCCCGACGGGGCGGCGCAGGCGACGGGCCAGGCGCCTTAAGGCTCACAGGAGGAGGAGGAGGAGGAGGAGGAGGAGGAGGAGGAGGAGGAGGAGGAGGGAGGAGGAGGAGGAGGAGGAGGAGGAGGGGAGGGAGGGGGGCGGAGGAGGAGGAGGAGGGGGAGGAGGAGGAGGACGAGGAGGAGGAGGAGGAGGAGGAGGAGGAGGAGGAGGGGCTCACAGGAGTCAGCCACGCGTAGAGGGGGGTGGGGGGAGGGGGGAGGGCTTCTTAGAAGCACCCCTGCTTCTTAGAAGGCGCGGGCCTCATCTACAGATGTAGGGCCGGCGCCTTCTAAGAAGCAGCCTCCTTCTAAGGAGCCTTCCCCCCTCCCTCCACCCCCCTTGCGCACCGCCAAAGGAGGAAGATACGGCCGAGCGTATGATTCACAGGACTCCTCCCTGAGTAGCTGGGCCGGCGTCGCGGGACCACTCCGCGGGAAAGCCGGAAAACCATTCTCGGGCACGTGCGCCCCTCCAGCGCCAGCCACAGAAGTTGACCCAGGCTTGTTCGAAGAGAAACCTCCGGGAAGCTGGCCCAGATTTCTTAAACTACAGTTTTGTTGATTCTAGGTTCGGCTACAGTCGAAGAAGAAGAAGAAGAAGACAGAGAAGAGAGGGCATACACACACTTTCGGAGCTGTACGCCCAATTCTCGGATCGGCGCTGACCCTGGCGGTGCCTCTGTCGTTTCAGGCGCCGCCCCTGGCGCGGTTCGCGCGCAAGGGAGGGGTGTCCAGCGCAGATCTAAACATCCGAGCGGACCTCCGAACATGTATGCTTATGCCGTTTCTGGTTACCCTCAAGATTCTGCTGGATTTGCTTTTACATCCCTGTGGTTCCCCTACCAGGTGGCGCGCGCGTGCTCGAAGCGTCACGCCTTGGGCACGCTCGGGCGTTTGGCCGTCCGAACAGGTCAGGGAGACGGGCGGCCTGATTCTCGCCCTCTTGGGCCTTTGGAGTCTGGAGGCAACTCTTTCTGGCCCCGAGGCAGTCGAACGTCATTCGCTGTATATTCGTTTTGGGGACCTTCTTGGGGCTCCCCTGGCGGATCTGTTCGACTCCAGCTCGAGCCTAGCTCGGCTAGAACTTCTAGATCGACTCAAGTTCGATTCAAGTTTGACTCAAGGTCGACGGGCGTTCGACACAGCGTCGACGCATGAGTTAAGCGAGTGGTCCCAGGAAGTCCCCAGAACGAGTATACGACATCCGCATGGTTGGACAGCCTTGTTGGCAGGGGGCAATTCGCCTGAGGGCGCGTCTTCGATGAGGCCAGCGAATATGCAGAACGTCACTGCCCAGAAAAAACTGGTCTTGGAATCTTGGCTGGCAGCTTGAAAGCTTGTGTCAGGACATGTGTCAGAGACACGTGCAGGAGGCTGGCGGCAAACGTTTCTGGCTTTGCCCCATCTCGGATGGCCATCTCTTAGGTTTCGGGAGGCCGCTCAGGACGCTGGCGGCGCCCCGGCTAAGTGTTCGGCGAGGTGCGGCTGAGGCACTGGAGTCACGCCCTGGGAGGCGCGTGCTCTATCCATCGACAGGTGCGCCTGTGTGTGTGTGTCTTGCGCAGGGAGCGCCTCTCCTCGTGATGGTCTGGGCTCGATCACTGGTTGTTGCCCGACCATGGCCGGGAACTCTTGGACAGCGTGTCGCTCCGCCGGCTCTGGCCCACCGCGCCTCGGCGCGACGCGCGATCCGCTTCCCAGCCCAGCGGCGCCCACGTCCCGAGCCTTTCCCCGCCTCCCCCCCCCGCGGGCGGCGGAGCGCCACGCCACAACGCTGCCAGGGACAGCCTGCCGCCCGGGCCCCCGCGGCGACACACGCCGAGCGAGAGCTCCTGGCCTTCGATCGGCGCGGGGCCGCGGGGCCGCCGCCCCTGCCAGGTGCTGGAGCCCGGACAGGTCTTCGCCGTCCGCGAGGCGCGCGGCCCGCCGGCGCGCGCCGCGGCGCCTCCCGCGGGGGCGCCGGCGAGAGGCCGGCGGCGCACGAAGAGGGGCCCTTCGCCGCAGAGACTTTCGGGCGTTGCTGGAAGTGCCCCGGGCCCAAGGTGCCCCCGGCTCTTCGCTCCAGCCTCGAGCCTCTGGGACCCTCTGGGCCCCGTGCGGGGCGCTCTGTGGAGGCCGTGGGGGCCTCCTCGGGTCTCCTTGGGGCACCTTGGGCCAGGGGCACTTCTGGCAGCACCCGAGGTGCGGGCTCGGGGGGTCCTCCCCGTACCTCACGCGGCGCGCCTGGGTGGAGCCCTGCCGCGGCCCCCCGGAGGCCGCGCACCCAGGAGGTCGCTGCTGCTCAGGGCCGTTCTCTGCGCGTCGTCGAGAGGGCGCTTCCTGCGCCTCGCCGACGGGCCGGGGGGCTGGGTGCCGGCGGACGCCGCCAAGGTCCCGCGGGCCTTTCGGGCCAGACGAAAGGGGGGGATTGGGAAAGGGGGGGGTGCGAAATCTGCTGCATGCCGCTGGTTTCGGCCCCACCGAGGGGCACATTCCTCGATACATAGCCGTCTCTGGCGCCAGGAGGCGCCAGGAAAATCTGCTACGTGAGCTGATCCTCCCCCCCCCCTTTGCTATCCCCCCCTTTCGCCCGGCCCGAGTCTTGGGCTGCGGGCGGCGCCAGGGCCCAGAGATCCGATGCAGCGGTTTTCTCCCATGCGGGGTCCTATTGGAAGTCTCGAGCCTTCCCCGGGGCCAGATTTCCATCCCGAGTCGGTTTCTGACGGTCCGGCACGGGCCTGCCGAGGGCCTCGATCTAGAGGCCGAAACTTGCGAAACGCCTCCGTCTCGTTTTTGTTCAGAGTGTTGGATCTCCGGGGACGCTGCTGGATACACTAGGCTTGCCCAGCCTGGGCGAGCATTGGATGTGGCGGACGCGACTGCCTAGCCCTGGGCCGTCGTCTGGGCGGGTAATTACGCCCTCCGTCCGCATGCGTGTACTGCGCCTGGCCGCCGCTATGTTCCGCACGTGGATCTGGTCGTGTACATGGTTTTCGGCTTCCTGGCAGGATTTTTCTCTGGTATGCTACGTTCAGCGGGGTGGGCCAAGATTTGCACCTCGGGACTCGGGAGGGTCGGGTCGGACGCCGGGGGGGGGGGGGATAGGGGGTGCGAAAGCTGCTGCATGCAGCTGCTTTTTTTGGCTCTACCGCCGGGGGCTTTCCTCGATACATTGGCCGCCTCTGGCGCAAGGAGGCGCCGGGAGAATCCTCTACGCGAGCTGATTCTCACCCCCCTTCACTTCGGATGCAACTCCTGGGAGGTCAGATTCTGATTTTGCCCTGGTCCGAAATCCGGCTTCATCCGGCGTAATAGCCCCGCTCAATCTGGCTTAATCCCGCTAACTTCCGCTCGATCTGGCCCACTCCGGCGCAACAGCCCCCGCATGGGGCTTAGTCTTCCTTAATCCTTCCGGCGAAGACCTCCCAGTAGTTGCCCCCCCCCCCCTTCGCGGACGGGTGCTCCTCTTTTGTCCGACCCGCGAGAGCCAGCTCGGGCCGTCGACGGCTCCGTGTTCGGTCCGGCGGTCTTGGGGGGTACTCATAGACATCAAGAGGGTAAGAAACACACAGACACAATTAATCCTCGATTCCCCAGAAAATATGGGAAAATATGGGCAGTTGGGGGGAAGACAAAAACCCAGAAAATATGGGAAAATATGGGGACTATTTTTATTTGTGTGTATTTATTTGTGTGTCCAAATTTCCCTTTAAGACAGCCAACGTGCTGAAACAAGGGCCGCTTTGGGTTCGGGTGGGGCTCACTGTTCCTTGGGTCATTCCGAGGTTGTTCCCCTGACCCTCCTCGTACACGCAGGCCCTTCCTTTGTCGGCAAGGGGCTGAGTTCCGTGTTAAGCCTTCCCCATTGCAGCAGTTTGACTGTATGATTGTGGAGGACGATCAATGGAGAGGAAGCATGCTGCCAGATAATTTCCAGATGTCTGAAACTTGTGTCAAACCTGTTTTTTTCACATTACAAACATGCTTGAAACATGTTTAGAAACTGTTCCGACATTTTAAACATATCAAATTCAATGATAGGACTGTTAGGGCGTCCATTGTCGTGGCATCCAGAACTGTATAGGTCCTGGACGGCAATATCGACATGGACCGGAGAGGCCACGGGCCAACCCCGTGCACGAGGTGATTGGGCGTTCCGGTCCTTTGCCAAGATTTGGAGACCAAGCTGCGAGGATGATGCGCTTATGGTGATGCTGTGCGTTAGTGCTGACCGCGTGTCCACGTAGCGCACCACGCTAGGGATACAGCCAGGGGCAGTGCGAGCAGGGGGCGGCGGACCACTCGTGCAGAGGCGAGCTGAGCTGACCCACCCATATACAATTGTTAGTACCGTGTTGTGGGTACCGACCGCTTTCGGTGGAAATCCTCTTGGGTCCATCAAGCCCCGGAGGGGTTTGGGCGTGGTGGTGCCATGCGGGCGCTGCCCTGTGGCCTTCGGTGGAGCTCCCTATGAGGTCACGAAACGCGCGAGGGGTGCGCATAATATACTTACTGTGCGGTGGTGCCATTCGGGCGCTGCCATTGGGGCCTTCGGTGGAGCTCCCTATTGGGTCGCGAAGCCTATAATGGGTGTGCCGAAATGGGCGCGGTGCTGCTATGCGGGCGCTGCCACTGGGGCCTTCGGCGGAAATGTGCGAGGGGTGTGCCGACACGGGCGCGGTGGTGCCATGCGAACGCAGCCACTGGAACTTTCGGTGGAGCTCCCTACGGGACCACGACACGTGTGAGGGGAATGCCGCAATGAGTGCGGTGACGCCATGCGGACGCAGCCACTGGGCTCTCGGTGGAGTTCCCCATGGGGCCACGAAACGTGTGATGGGTTCGCCGAAGTAAGGGCGGTGGTGCCATCCGAGCGCAGCCACTGGGGCCTTCGGTGGAGTTGACGTCCCGTTTGGGTTTGCGTAGGGCCGCGGACCGCATCCCGCTTGTCTCCCATCAAGTTCACGGAGGTGGCGACAGTTGCGCAGTTGGGAGCTCCCAGGGAGGCTGGGTCTGCGTAGGACCGCGCTCCCCCAGAGCCCTCCAGAAACTCACGGAACGGGCGACCGCAGGTGGCAGCACCCAGGGAGCGAAATCCCGTTCGGGTCTACGTAGGACGCACGCCCCCATTGCCTCCCCACACGAGCTGACAAACATAGCGACGACTCCGGAGATGGCAGTTCCCAGGAAGGCGACGTCCCACGTGGGTCTACGTAGTGCCGCTTTCCGCCGAACACCCCCCCTGTCACAAGCTCACGAAAATGGCGACCGTTCCGCAGTCGGAGCACCCAGAATAACGATGACCCGTTCGGGCCAGCGAAGGACCGCACTCCGCTGGACCCCCCACAAGCCCACACAAGTAGTTTCGACCGTTGCGAAGCTGGCAGCGCCTGTCGGACGCGGGTCCTGCTTAGGTTTGCCCAGGTCCGCACTCCGCTGAACCCGACCAAATATTACGAAAGTTGCGACAGCTGCGAAATCGGCAGCATCCAGGGATGCGGGTGTCATTTTATGGTTATGCGTCGGATCGCGCTCTGCTGGAATCTCCACATGCTCACTGATGTGCAGTTGGAAGCACCCACGGGAGGCGAGATCCTGGAGGACCGCAACCCGCTTACACCCCGACGAGCTTGCGAACGTGGCAGCCGTTGCGCAATGTGAGCTGCACACCGGAGCAAAAGTAAGGATTCCGTCTATCCCAGCCAAGCTAACACACCACAAGTAATATGCATCAGCGCGAGAAGGATGATGACGATGATGAGGATGGCAAGAATGAGGAGTGTTCAGGAGGAGGAGACCATGTGCGCAGGAAGTGCCAGCTGGGGCTGCAGCCACGCTGGGTGGTGAACGTAGTCGCGCGCAACTCGACAGGACTGGCAGCGAGGCATGCTCGTCTCCGCTCTTCCATCTGCCCGAGGCTGCAACTGCTGCTGCTCCTTCTCATCCTGCCACTCCTGCACCCCACCCTTCTCCTCCTTTTACACGCCGCTCTGCCTCCCCCTCCCCCACCTGCTCCTCAACCTCCTCCTTCCGCTCCTTTCCCAAACGATTCGTGCTCAAACCCACCATCGGAGGCATGGTAACAGCGGCGCCCCGAGTGTTCTTGTTCGTGCTCTAGGATACATCAACGCGCTGATCGTTTCAGACCTATCGCAAGGCATGCGGAGCTGTTGCCTATGGCCAGGTAGTGTCGGCCGTCTGTTCCTGGAGGGCCTCTTGGAGGCCTCTTGGGCCGTCTTGGGCCATCTTAGGGCCATGTTCGGCCGTTTTGATGGGCTCCTGGTCCGTCTGACGCCGTCGGAAGCCGGTTGGGGGGCCTCTATGGGCCGACTTGGGGCCCTCTTGGAATGCTCCAGGGCCGTCTTGGAGGCCATCTTGGACGTCTTGGAGGCCATCTTGGGCGTGTTGGAGGCCTCTTGGGCCGTCTTGGGGCCCTCTTGGGGCCGTCTTGGAGGCCTCTTGGGCCGTCATGGGGCCTCTTGGGGGCCTCTTGGGCGATCTTGGAGGCTTCTTGGGCCGTCTTGAGCCGTCGGAATGCCGAGAAGAAGCAAATTCCAAAATCCTTCAAAAACCAATGGAAAATCAATGATTTTGGCCTCTTCGGGCCCTCCTGGGGGACCTCTTGGAGGCCTCTTGGGCCGTCTTGGAGGCTTCTGGGGGGCCTCTTGGGCCGTCTTGGGCCGTCGTGGACTCTCTTGGGCCGTCTTGGAGGCCGTCTTGGACCATCTTGGGCGGACTTGGAGGCCATCTCGGACCATCTTGGAGGCCATTTTGGGCCAATGTGGCCATCTTGGAGGCCATCGTGAACCATCTTGGAGGATTTTTTCTGGATTGAGCTCCTTGAGATCTTTTCCGGATGGCCGGCGGGACGGGCCGAAGCCCCAGGTGGAGTTCTTTTGGAACAAAGAACCAAAACCAAACGCCATATCGTTTGGCACGCCAGGCACCCCTTTGATAAATCAAAAGGGGGCGGCGGATTGAATGGCCTTCGGCCCAACCCGCCACCGTTCCTGGGTTGTGGTGTATAGGCCTCCAGGATGTTCGCTGGGATGTCGCTGGAGGCCTCTCGGGGGTCGCGTGGGGGCTGTTTCGAGGCTTCTTGGGGCCGTTGTGTGGCATCTTGGGGTGCCTTGGGGGCCTCTTTAGGGGTCCTCTTGGACCCTCTTGGGGACCTCCGTGGGGTCTCCTGGGAGCCTCCTGCGGGCCTCTTGGGTTCGTGTTACCCCTCTTGGGTCCTTCTCAGGGCTGTCTTTCACTCTTGGGGACATCTTGGGCCGTCTTGGGGCAGTCTTGGGGGCCTCTTTGGCTGTCTTGGAGCGTCGGAAGCCCCGAACGACGGGGACCCCAAACACATTGAATAACATATGGGTAATCAATGATTTTGGCCTCTCGGGGCCCTCTTGAGGCTCTCTTTGGCCGTCTTTAGCCGTCTTGGGGCCGTCTTGGGGGCTTCTTGGACGTCTTGAGGCTCTAAGGCTTCTTGGGCCGTCTTGGGGCCACCTTGGGCGTCTTGGACCGCTCGTGCAGCGATTTGGGGGACCGTCTGGGCGAGCTCTTGGAGGTCTCTTGGCCCGTCTTGGGCCCCTCTTGGCCCCGTGAAGATCATGCGACGGCACTCGGGCGAGCCAAGGGGGCACGCGGAGCAGCCTAGACGGCGCGCCAAGAGAATGGGAAGATGTGGTAATGTCGGGCCTGGGCCCCTAAAGGAGTCCTCTTGATGGAGAGCGTTCAGCGGAACGCTCTGGGTCGTCGTCGTCGTCGTCGTCGTCGTCGTCGTCGTCGTCGTCGTCCGCGCCGTCGTCCTCGCAGTCGTCCGTTCCGTGGTCCTCGCCGTCGTCGTCCTCGCCGTCGTCCTCGACCTCCTCGGCGACCTCGCCGTCGTCGTCGTCCTCAGGGGACTTGAGGACACTCCAACTCGTGCTCCAGGGCACGGTGGCGGATCTGTCGTCTCAGGACGTGTGCTCTTTGGGGATTGTTGTGTGCTGGTTTGAGCTTGTGGCGCATAGTGGACTCAGGACTCCCAAGGTGACTTACCATATGCCAGTGCGCTAAGCTGAAAGCGTGGTTGCACGGGTAGGTCAGTGTTTTCGTGTGTGTGTGGTTGGTGCTCGGATATGGCCAATGGTGCTTCGTCAGAGCAAAGGTGTCTTGTGACTTCCACCAGAGGCGCGTCCTCCCGAATTCAGCAGCTAGCCCCTCCAGGATGGGGCAGTGAGGGGCAGGATGTCTACGTCGGGCTGTTCCTTTCCGCTGGCCTTCTGAGGATGGCCGCGGAGGACCCGTGGGCCGCGATGGAGCGCCAAATCCTCAGCACCTTCCACGTCTTCTGCGCGCCGTCCACGGTGCACGGCTGGGGGGTGTTCGCCGGGAAGGACTTCAAGAGGCACGAGGCCAGCGCTTTTCGCTTTCAGCCACTCTGCTCTGCTCTTCGAAGTCTCGGGCCGCCCACGCGTGGGCGTGACCCTTCGCCAAAGTGACCTCTGGTGCGGGCCCCTGTGGGCCCGGTGGGGCTGAGCGCCATGGGACAGCAGCGGCCTGCGCTCTCGAGTCTGGGCCCCCTGGAGTCCGCGCGCCGAAGGTCGTCCTTGCCTGCGGTCGCTGTGACGTGTAGTCGGCTCGGATACTCGCCCGCGGCAGGAGGAGGAGGAGGAGGAGGAGGAGGAGGAGGAGGACCCGTACAGCCTCTGTCATTGACTTCTTGGAGAACTCGACCCCATGCCCTCCGTCGCCTGCCGGGCTGGGCGTCGTCGGGGCCCTTGCTGCTCCTGCATGGCGCGGCCTCGCTGCGCGAGGCAGGCCGTGCTCTCTGGCGCTGCAGGCCAGGGCCGTACAGCAAGTCGAAGAGAAGGGCCGCGACCAAGACCCGCCGCCCTTCATCGGGGCTGGGCGCGGCCGCTTATGTTGCTCAGGCGTGTTGTGCACACGTGTGGCTGTGCCTTTGGCGCGCGGTCAGGTGTCGGGAGGCAGCTCGCCTGAAGGGCAGCGGAGTCCGAGACGCTTCTTCGGGGGCAAAAATTGGACGGGGCTTGGAGGAGGATAGATCCGTTCCATCGGCGCATTGGAGCCCGACACCAACACCAAGATCTCCTTCTGGGACAACTAATTGAGAGTCTCTGTTAGTGCCGTCGCCCACGTTTCCGGGCTTACATGCCCCGCGTCGACGAATGCCAGCTCTGCGCGCGTGGTAGCAACGCGGACCTTCTGTAGTCCCTCCAGTGAACTGTAGGATTTCCATGGGCCGCGCAAGGCCTGGCCGGCGAACTTCGCTAAACCTTTGAGAAACCCACAAGTCCCCATAATCCCAGTGCGACCCTACCTAGGAGTTGGAGCCCCTAGGAAAGCAGCATTAGTAGTAGTAGTAGTAGTAGTAGCAGTAGTAGTAGTAGTAGTAGTAGTAGTAGTAGTAGTAGTAGTAGTAGTAGTAGTAGTAGTAGTAGTAGTAGTAGTAGTAGTAGTAGTAGTAGTAGTAGTAGTAGTAGTAGTAGTAGTAGTAGTAGTAGTAGTAGTAGTAGTAGTAGTAGTAGTAGTAGTAGTAGTAAAGCTAAGCTAAGCTAAAGCTAAGCTAAAGCTAAGCTAAAGCTAAGCTAAAGCTAAGCTAAAGCTAAGCTACAGCTAAGCTAAAGCTAAGCTAAAGCTAAGCTAAATCTAAGCTAAAAGTTAAGCTACAGCTAAGCTACAGCTAAGCTACAGCTAAGCCACATCTAAGCTAAAGCTAAGCTAAACATATGCAACAGCTAAGCTAAAGCTAAACTAAAGCTAAGCTAACGCTAAGCTACATGTAAGCTAAATCTAAGCTAAACGTAAGCTGAAGTTAAAGCTACGCTAAATCGAAGCTAAAGCTAAGCTAAAGCTAAGTATAAGCTAAACTAAATCTAAGCTAAAGCTAAGCTGCAGTTAAGCTAAATCTAAGCTAAATCTAAAGCTAAACTAAAGCTAAGCTAAAGCTAAAGCTAAAGCTAAAGCTGAAGCTAAAGCTAAAGCTAAAGCTAAAGCTCCCAGGGGACTGGGGGAACCGCTCCTAGGGGACTGGGGGAAGCGCCCGGGGCGCTTTGCACTGCCCGGCCCTTTAAGCAAACGAGTAAGAACCCTTCTGGGCAGAGCCTAGGTAGGGAAAAAAAATGTTTCCTGGGCCACATGGGCGCCGCAATGCGCACGGTTCCCATGAGCCGCGCGAGTCCAGCGAGCCGCGCGGACACCATGGGCCTGAGTTGTCAGGGCCGCGTCGGATTTCTGGGCCTGGGCCATGGCGGCCCCATGGGCCCTTGGGGCGCCATGAGCCCCATGGGGCGTTGTTTCGCCATGCGAGCCCCATGGCCTGCGAACTCGGCGAGCAAAGCGAGCCACCTCAGGCTGTCCGGGCTCCGCTGGGCCGCTCTTTCCCCACAGGGGAAGGGCCTCAAACTTTTCCAGTGGGGTCCTGGTGTTAGTACCGGCTGTTCGTCCCCGGCAACATCGGAAAGCCGACGCCAGCGCCAAGGCCCCCGTTGGAACGGCGGCCCCATTGGGGAGCGGAACCCGTCGACGACTTCGGAAGCTGGCCAGGGCCTGTGGGCCAGCGTTAGGAGGGCGCCAGCTTCGCCTCGCGCCTGCACTTCTTGTTTCCTGCCTTCCCTCCTGCGCGCTGCGCGATGTTTCCCTCCCCGCCCCCTTGTGATTCCGAAGGTCAGGGCGGGCTCATGTTGGCCCGAAGCGCAATCCCAACCTTTGTAAAGCAAGCACTTGCTTGGTGCCGGTGTCGGCTTTCTGTCCTCCCACTCCAGAGCGTTGCTCGCAAAGCCCTCCGCAACGCTCTGAGAAAGACGCGGCGCCCGAGACATCCTGCAGAACCGCCGGATTTATCCTCACCCGATTTTGCCTTCACCCTAGCTTCGTCTTAACAAAAACACCCTTCGTCGGTCCTGGACCCCTTCCAAGGGCCCAGCGTCGCAAGTTGCGACCAGACGGGGCCCCTGGCAGGACCAGCAGCAGTGCGTTTTTTGTTCCGCCGCCCGGCTTCCCGGGGCCCCCAGCAGAATGTAGCATGTGATGACGTGGTGGGACGGCTGGGTCGGCCGACCGTTGTTTCTCGGCGGCGAGCAGGGGGGAGCAGTGAGAATGTGCAGGCCTCAGGCGGCGGGGCTCCTTAGAAACCCTCGCGTCTTCTGAAAATGTGATGCGTCTCCGGGGAAGGCTTGGTAAACTTGTCAGCAGGCTGGGGGACTTCTGAGCCTTCGTCTAAGGCTCGTCCTTTCTCTTCCCCCCCTGGGCTCGCCACCGACTCTCTTGCGCAGGTTACACAATGGAGAAGAAGTCAACAGCCCGACACCAGCCGCCGCCAAACCTGACTGCGGATCGGGGGGAGCATCCATTCGGCATGGTCGCCGGGATCTGTATGGGGAGGGGGAGGAGAAGGAGGAGGAGGAGGAGGAGCAGGAGGAGGAGGAGGAGGAGGAGGTTGGAGGAGGAGGAGGAAGAATAAGAGGAGGGGGAGGAGGAGGAGGAGGAGGAGGAGGAGGAGGAGGAGGAGCGACTGCAAAACTTTCATTGTGAAGCGATTTGGTGGTGCGACGTCATTCTCTCTCCGTGCTTGTGCCTGCTGGCCCGCCTCCCGCCTCTGTCCCTCCCTCGTCGGGCGAGCCTGCTCCTCCGGGGGGGCCCTCCCCTCCAGAGCGATGCGGGGGCCACGCCTGAACGGTGCGGTAACCACACCGTGTGGTGAGTCAGTGAGGGCTCGGGGTTACCGCACGGTTTTGGGACTCGGGTCGTTCTCCGAGGTTGTCTCCGGCGGCCGGGGCCTCCGGGGTCGCAGAGCCGTGCGGTGACGCAGCGTGCAGTGAGGTTCTTCGGGATGTCGAGTTCACCGCACGGTCTGTCACCGCACCGCTTTCCGGGGGCAACGAATGTGAATGGTTGATACATCGACAATGCATCGGCGATGCGTCGCTGACATCAGGGCGATGCATCGACGATGTGTAGACGATGTATGGGGCGGTCCGCATCGACGATAGATCGGCCATTGGAAGTCGATGCATCCGGCCTTATGCCTAGCCCCCTTTATCGCTGCCCATCTGTTTTGAGACCCTACACTAGGGGTCCTACCACAAGAAACCTTTCACAAGAAGTCCAACCCTGAGACCCCAGGACGTCCGTTGATTTTTGCTGTGGGAACGTCACGATTTCCATCGCAAAACCATCGACACCCCAGAAACCCAGGGCACACTGGAGGCAAGCAGGGTGTTTCTTGGCATGGGCCTCCTCGATACTGCCTCCTCTCCTCGATCCTCGTCCCGCAAGTGGGGAGGAGGACCGGGCCTGCGGGCGTCCCTGGGCGGGATGGCCATGTGTTCGCGAGGGCGGCACAGATCTTGTTCCCCACGGCCCTCGTGCCACGCCCAAGGGCCCCGCAGCGTTCTTATCTGCGTGTCTTGTACAAGTTCCCAAGGATATATGCACACAGTCTATGTCTGTGTGTATACACATACACACCTATACATATATATATATACACACACTATAAGGTGCGTGTGCGTATCAGTATATTTGGTTTCCACACATGTGTATATATATGTATACATAGGCCAGCGTGGACCCCAAACAGGGCGAGCTAGCATACTCTGCGATGCGATGCAGTGCCATCTATGCAGTGCAGTAGATGCAGAATCACCCAATGCGGGGCAAGACTCGCAATGTAATCGAGGCGGTGCAATCTTCAGTCGCACCGCATTGGCTGCACCATGATCTATTATGCTGTGCCATGCTGCTCCCTTCTGTGTTCTGCTGAGCGATGCTATGCTGAGCTATGGTATGTTGCGGTGCGATGCTCAGTGCTACGCTATGCTATGCTATCCTATGCGAGTGGACGAGTGCTCGTGGCGGCGACGCATGGCGGGCAGCGACGAGCCAGCCGGACGGGCACTGGGGCCCAGTGCAAGTGGCGGCGATGGGCGTTGACGAGCCGGCCGGGCAGGCTTGGGGGCCCGCTGAACCTGGAAAATAAGTAAGAGCCCCCAAGTGCAAGCACTGCTTGGGTGGGGAATATACGCATGCTGGAATACAGTGGAATCCGTCGGTGTGAAGAGATCCTGTTCCGCACCCCGAGAGAGGAGGGCCTCGAACTTCTCATCGCCCACCCGATTGCCCGCCTTCCCAGATGTCAGGCGGCTCGGCACCGTCGACATGTCTGGTGTTCTGCCATTTGCACCTTCGGTTGGCCAGTCTCGGGCCCTGGTGGCCATCCGAAAGCGACTCAGGATGTAAAGCCATCCCCGTGGAAGGGGTCAAGAGGTTTGGGGCGTCCTGGACAAGTTGCAGCGGGGTGTCGCCCTGCCTGAGTGGCCGCCCTCTTTGCGGCGGTCTTCTGCCGGAAGGGGAAGCAGCATCAGGGACACGCTGCGGTTGGAAGCCCGTCGGCGTGTTATTCTTTCGTTTTTTTGTCAGGGAGCCTTGTGCTTCCAGCAAAGTAACAGGCTGATGGACTCCCCACGGCGGCGTGTCATTGATCCTGATTCTTATGAAGGCCTCACGGCCGGTGACGTCGACCCAGAAGGACGACGACCACGACCACGACCACGACCACGACCACGACCACGACCGGGACCACGACCATCTCGACGTCCACGACGACACTCACAACGACGAGCTTATGACCCTGCCACAAGGTCGGGACATGGGGTGGGAGTTGGAGGGAGAACGAGGCGGAGGAGGAGGAGGAGGAGGAGGAAGAGGAGGAGGAGGAGAAGGGGGGGGACGAGGGGGAGGCGTAGGGATTGGCGGAGGAGGAGGAGGAGGAGGAGGAGGAGGAGAAGGAAACGGAGGAGGAGGAGGAGGACAAGGAGGTGGAGGAGGATGATGATGAGGAGGAGGAGGAGGAGAACGAGGAAGTGGGTGCTGATGATGTTGCTGATGATGATGATGATGATGATGATGATGATGATGACGATGATGATGATGATGCTTGTGATGGTGATGACGGTGATGCTGGCGATGTTGATTGTGATGGTGATGATGCTGATGCTGATTGAGCTGATGCTAATTCCGATGACGATGATACTGATGAGGACGATGACGATGACGATGCTGATGATAATGATGGTGGTGGTGATGGTGATGATCATGATCAAGATGATGATGCTGATGCTGATGATTATGAGAATGATGTTGATGATGATGCTGATGATGATGATGATGATGATGGCCATGATGGTGATGATAATGATGCTGATGATGATGATGATGATGCTGATGATGATGATGATGATGATGAGGATGAGGATGATGAAGATGAAGATGAGGAGGAGGAGGAGGATGAGGATGAGGATGAGGATGAGGATGAGGATGAGGATGAGGAGGAGGAGGAGGAGGAGGAGGAGGAGGAGGAGGAAGAGGAGGAGGAGGAGGAGGAGGAGGAGGAGGAGGGAGGAGGAGGAGGTGGAGAGGTCAGGGCCAGGGCCGGGCCAGGGTCGGGAACCAGGGCTGGGGCAGGGGCTGGGGCCGAGACCAGCCCCGTGTCCACCCGTAGGAGGGGAGGGAGGGCCGCTGACGTTTTTGTTAGGACGTTCCTTTTCTCTCTTCGTTTCTAGATTTCCGAAGGACTGTCGACGACGACGACGAAGACGACGACGACGAAGACGAAGACGAAGACGAAAACGAAAACGAAGGCAGCGTCTCACACACGCCGACTGGGTCGGCCGATTTTGATCACCTGTTTTGGGTCATCAGCAGCAGTGTTTCGAAGATGGCCGCGCTTCTGACCAGCCTCGAACTTCCCCCTATGATCGGGACCCCCAAGGGGATGACAGTCTTGGAGATGTGCCCCCAGACACTGCGAGAATCCTCAAAGATCGGCACCGGGGTAATGTGATGCCAGACGCATGGGTAGGGATGTTCCCCGGCCCAGCATGGAGCGCTGCTTCTCTCCACGGAGGGTCGCGCTCCGCGCAGGTCGCGGAGCGCGGGGTGTCGTGGCCCGGCCCTCTTTGAGGCGGTCTCAAGCTGCAGGGTCCCATGTGGTGACGCGCGCAGAGGGTGGCATGGGCCTCCCCCTCCTCCTCCTCCTCCTCCTCCTCCTCCTCCTCCTCCTCCTCCTCCTCCTCCTCCTCCTTGGGCACGCTCGACCTCCTCTTCCTCCTCCTCCTCCTCCTCCTCTTCCTCCTCCTCCACCTCCCTTTCCAGAAGCACCCGCGCGGGCCTTATCTGTAGATGCAGGGCAGGCTGCCTCCTCAGAGGCAGCCTCCCTCTCAGGAAGCCTTTCCCCTCATCCCCCTCCCCTCTTTGTGCGCGCCGCCGCCGCCAGGTGGTTCACGAGGCCACTGGGCACCTGGTGCGCGGGCAGCCGGAGGCGATCGAGGACGACGTGTTCGACTCGGGCTCGATCGTTGGCGAAGCGGAAGCGAGCGGCTTCTCGATCTTGGGCCAGGGTCCCGGGCTGGGGGCACCATCATGCCGACAACTGTCATCCCATCTACCACCTCCATCATCTCCCCCCCTCCCCTCCTTCTTCAGTGGCAAACGGGAAGTGCTGCAATTGTTAACATGTTCATTCTGCCCAAGGGTTCGCGACCCTGCACAATCACCAAGACGACCCGAACGTAGGGTTCTTCTGGGAGCGGCCTGAGCGACACGACAAGCGCATCGTCGGGACTTTCTACGCGAGGAGGCCGATCAGCAAGGGTGAGGAGCTGTTCATCTCCTATGGCCCAGACTGGCTGCAGTCGCGCGAGGGGCAGTTCGAAGCCGGGTTTGCACCGCAGTCGGAGGAGGTTTGACGAGTGACTCGCGGAGCGGACGTGATGCGCGTGTCTCCATCTCCTTCTCCTGCAGTCGCTTTCGGTACAGTCGTCTTAGAGTCATCTGTGGTATAGTAACCGTTGGTACAGTAGGTGGATCCGTGTCCCTGTAGGTACATTGACTTAGAGTCGTTTTGAGCTCAGCCATGCCATACTACAATATCTGGGCACTCCACGTTTGGAAGTGTTCCAATCCTCTTTAAAGCGAAATCTTATATTGTCGACAACATGCATAGGATGGGTCCTGGGTGAAGGACCTGCCCCCCCCCACCTTCCAAAGGGCGAGTCTAAGGCAGACGATCGATCTCCCATCGGGTCGCCGTCGACTCCTACCGTCGAGAAGTCGCGCCAGTGGCGGGATCGCCTCCCCTGGGCGCTGCCAAGCGGGTCACTCGAACTGTTGCGCGAAAGGTTGCGCACACATCCATCGCATGCCCCCTTCAGAGGATCCAGCACATCAAGGGCACCGACGGGGCAGGTAAATGAGCGACGATAAGCAGGGGAGGACAAACCACACCGACCCCGATAATGGGCGTTTTCCAAACGGCCCTGGGCTTTACTAAACATCCCTGCCCTGCTCGATGCCTTTCTTGGGTGTGTTTACGGAATGGCTTCGCCTGCCGGGGTGCTTATTATGAGGGTGGATTTTTCGCCCCCTGGATTTCAGTCGGGCATGTCCCTCTACTGGAGGAAAATGCAAAACTAGTCCAACAATCGTCTGGGGACGATGTTTTCTAACATTTGACTTTCGTTTTTTGTCCTCCGTATTTTTGATGTTTTGCCCAAGCTCCGCCTGAAGGGGGGCGTGCCCGACCTAACCCCAGATTGGCAGGGAGGTCGACTGCGCGAACCCCTGCGCGCAAGGTGCCCTTCGCAAGAGGCCGCGGCGGCGCCCCCCTCTCCGCGCGGCGTGCCCCGCCGCCGCACCCCGCGTCGGCCGGCGCGTGAGGTCGCCAGGGCCTCCTCGCGCCGGGCGCCTTCCGTTTCGTCGCTCGGAGAGGGCGGCGCAAGAATCCAGCAGTGGCGAAGCGTCCTGGCGCGCCTATAGCCCTACCAAACAGTGTTCTAAGAACCTTCTGCGGTTTCCACGAACTGTTCTTGGAGCATTTCTGGCGGAGCCTGTCTTGTTTGCACACATCGGGTTTCTGTTCTACGAACATTGTTTTGGTTCTTAGAACATTTTGGGGTTCTAAGAACATTTCGTGGTAGGACTATAGGAATGCCGGGACGGTCGGTCCCTGCTCAAAAGAAAGTGGGGCGGAGTGCGCCGGCGTTGGCGCGCAAGCTGCCCGAAAAAGGTCGCGCGTGAGCGCCCTCGTCTCCAATGTAGCGTGCCGCGCCGGCGGCCCGCATAGGCCACCGCCCGAGGTCGCTGTGCCATCTCGCGTGAGATCCGTGGTTGATCGCCGCCCACGTGAATTGTCCTCGGCAGCGCGCATCGGCACTCACCAGCTGCCCGACAGAACAAGGGGTAGCTGCCTTTCTAGACCCGCGAGGGTCGCGAAGGTGGCCGAGCAGGAGTTGGCGAGGCGATGAACCTACAGAGTTCTCAAGCTGCGATTGCTCAGTGTTCCATTCTGCCTGGCTCCAGAACTTGTCGAGCCTCGGCGGCTACTGAGCGCGCAACAAATACATGCTGCCCCAATACAGCCACGCTCATAGGACACATCTTTTGCCCGCTGACTGCACTGTTTCAGGCATGAGTTCTGTGCTTCCGCAGCATTCGGGGCACCGCGATCGTCGCGTGGAAAAGTTAACCACGCGACACAACATTAGGGGAATGAAACATGACGTAAACATAACAACTCAGAGGTCCGCGCGGATTTCTTGGATCCGCGCTGGACCCCCTTCCCTGGCGCGCGGAGCGCGCGATGAGCGTCGCCGGAGGCGCCGCCGGGTCTCCAGCGCCGATCCGAGAAATCCGAGCGGACCTCGGAGTTGTTATGTTTATGTCACTGCTTGTTTCCCACAAGACGCCCCCCCAGCCAGCGCCCTGTTTATCCCTCCCCACGCCTTGGCTTCCATCTGTCGCCTTGGATCGGCGAGGTCTGGGCGTGTAGCCTCGCAGCCTACCACGAGGTGGGGGAGGAGGAGGAGGAGGAGGAGGAGGAGGCGGAGGAGGAGGAGGCGGAGGAGGAGGAGGAGGAGGAGGATGGGGAGGAGGAGGAGGAGGAGGAGGCTACTTAGCTCCCACGCCGATGGAAAACACTACGCAAGAGGGCTCGCACCGTGTGAGTTGTAACTGACATGGGTGCTCCTGAAAAGCGGAGCGTGAGGCAGTACGTTGGCTAGCACGCTCGCAATCATCGGAGCCTGAATCTGCACCTGATGGCAGCGCACTCCGTGCTGGGCGGTCCGTGAGGCTCTGTTGCTTCTGACGGCCTGGCCCGTCGCCGTATTCTGTACTTCCTTTTCGGTTCCTGAGGCTCTTGGCTGCCGATGGCCTGCCCTTCACCGCTTTGAAGGCCAGAGGTCCGAGGGAGAGGAAGGAGCGGAGGAGTAGGAGGGGGAAGAGGAGGAGGAAGGAAAAGGCGGAGCGACGCCCACAGCTCAGACCGTCCCCGACCCGGCCTTCTTTACCGCCTTCTTCTTCTTCTGTTTCTTCTTCTTCTTCTTCTTCCCATGGTGCCCGTTACGCCGACCGTAGACCGTGCCCCCTACCCCCACCATTGTCCTGGAGCGTATCCTGGGAGTGTGCTGACGCGTATCCTGGAGGTGTCTTGGAGGTTGTCTTAGATGTGTCCGCGAGACTGTCCTGGAGGAGTGTTGCGGAGAGTTTTGGGGGTGTCTTGAAGGATGCCCTGCAGGTGTCCTGAAGGATGTTCTCAAGTTCCCTGGAATGCGACCTGGCATTATCCTGTGACCCGGACGGCGTCCTGCAGGTGTCCTGCAGGGCGTCCTGGATAATGTCCTGGAACATATCCTGGAAGTGGACTGGGGGGTGTCCTTGATGGTGTCCTGGGCCTCATGTTTCCGACTCGAGGCAGGCGTTTCTTGGAGGCGGTCTTTCCGTTCCCAAGGGTTCGGTCCGAACAGTTCCCGAGCTCAGCCGGGCGATTCCAAGGGTTGGGAATTTCGGGGGAGTGTTTCTCGGTGGCCACATGTGAAATTAGCCACGCCTCCCACGATCTCTGAGGGGGGAGGAGGAGGAGGAGGAGGAGGAGGAGGAGGAGGAGGAGAGGAGGAGGAGGAGGAGGAGGACAAGGAGGAGGGGGAGGAGGAGGAGGGGGGGGGGTAGGGCTCACATGTGGCCACCTGGTTGTTCTGCCTCGTGCCGTGGCCGTCGACCGCGCAAGCCCGCGTGGCTCCCTGCGGGCCCGGGGCCCTCGCGATCCCTGGTCGGCTTGGCTGCGCCCGCATCGCACGATCCCTGGCACCCGTGCGCCTATTGCAGCCAGACCGAGGTGCAAGACCGAGGTTCGGGAGCCTCGAGACGGGGGTCAGTGCAAACGGGGGTCAGCCAGAGCGCCCCGACCTTGCAGGATCCTGCAGGGCCAGGGTCGCATTGACCCGGGTTTGGGTGCAGGATCCTGCAGGATCTTGCAGGATCCTTCGCATTGACCCGGGTTTGGGTGCAGGATTTTGCAGGGTTTTGCAGGATCCTGCAAGGCCTGACTGACCCGGGTCTGGATTGACCCGGGTCAGAGGACCCCCGAGAGGTCGGTTTGTGGAGGGTGCCCTAATGTTCTTCGTGCCTGTTGGATGTTCTTGCGCATCCTGCGAGGGGGCACCCTCGAACGTTCTTCAGAAGGGGCCCCGGCGGAGGCTCTCGTGTGCTTGAAGGATGCTCCTCTGTCCCAGGTCCGGCTCGGCAGAACGCTCCTGGAGCGTGCCGGACGCCAGACCCGCCACCCCTCAGAGGTCCCCGATGTATTTTCCTGTGGATTTGCCCTCCTCCTGCCTTCGTCTTCGGTCTGGGCGCCGGCCCAGGACATCGGCGCGTGGCCCCTTGAGGTGTCCGTCGGTCTAGTTGCCTTGATTTCCCACACACGCCCCCCCCCCAGGCCGTGGCCGCGATCCACTCCAAAGGCGTATGCCATCGCGACATAAAGCCAGACAACTTCATGATCAAGGACATCCCGTCGGCAGGAGGATGAGGGGGGGGAGTAGGAGGAGGGGGAGGGGGGGGGGTCAAGCCATTCTGGTCCAAGCCGCTTGTCGGCAGCAGCGCCAGACGGTTTTCCTTCCTAATATTTGTGTGTATATATATATATATATATATGTCTCTCTCTATACTGTTTGGACGCCAAAGCACACGTACTCGACTATTTGTACAGCTGGACCGATGTATAAGATCGAGGTCGGGCTGGGGAGGGTACCCTAGTGTTCTTCGTGGTTGTTGACTGTTCGTGTGCACCATGGGGGGGTACCCTTGGATGTCCTGTTTGTTTTGGCCAACGGAGGGTCTCATTTTCTCGACGGATGTTCTTCTGGCACTGTTCTGACTGCATTTCGCCTCATTCATCACCATGAGATGTCTTGAAAGAGTGTCAGCCCCAGGTGGTTTTGTCGTACGCGTGTCCATGACACAGCTGGCAAAACTAGGACACCGTAGATCAATGGCAGTGGGAAGACGTCGTGTTCTTTCTGCGGGCTACACAAGGGGGCCTGTTTTGGATCCATCGCTGTCCCTCACAGGAGCCCTCGACCTCTGCTCGTGCGGCTAAGCGGGCTCTTGGGCGGCTGGCCCTTCTGGGTCCTGTCGAGGTCCCGAGCTCCGGGAACTGCGTGCCAAGGTTCGGAAGCCCGAGGCTCGTGATTACGTTGCCAGTCGTGGGGCCTCTCAGGTCCAAGAGATCAGCATGGAACCTGAGCCCTGCACAGGGTCAGCAGCCAACCAGAGGCTGGCGGAGGTGGATACGGACTTGCAATCGGTTCAGAAGTTTGTGGGTCCAGCTTGGGGCGATCCCCGGAAGGCATTGGAACAGGAGCCCGATGCCCTTCGCCAGAACCTCCAGGCCGTCAAACCAATCCATTTCCAGGTGCACTCGGTCGCCGTCAGGATCGAGGCCGCGGAGCGTAAAATCCAGAACGCAAGTACTTGCACTGCAGAGGCAGAAGGAGCAGCTGCGGAAGATGCAAGAAAGTGTCGTTCAGTCGAAGAAGAGCACTTATGAGCACTGAGTTGTGCATCCAGCGTGCACGTGTCTTTGCTGAGGCGATTGTTGGCGCAGGTGTTTCGGCTCCAGTGTTACCGGCCCTCAGCTCAACATCATCTATTTGCAGGAAGTTTTAGGCGCGATGGGAATCGCGGAGGATGTAAAGGCCAACGCCAAGTCGTTGGTTGAGGCTCCTCCCCAGTTCGTTTCCACTGCTGGACTTCCTCAAGTTGGAGTGGACTTCGTCGCGCAGGCTCCAGCTGAAGGTGAGGCTCTAGGCTCCCGAGATCAAGCAGCAGCTGGGAGAGTTGCTGCCTGGCGGGGCGGAGGATGGGTTCATCTGGCAGCGGGCCAAGTTCCTGGCGGCGAAGGTCTTAATCCAGTTCACACTCTGTTCTAGTGATTGTCCCTTGCCATTGGGCGAGATTAACGGTGAGTAACAACATTTTGATCAGGACGAGAAAGACAATGCGGAAAGCGGAGCGGGGATGATGAGCAGGAGGGAGGATAGTCGCCCTCCTCCTCCTCCTCCTCCTCATCCTCTTCCTCTTCCTCTTCGCAATCCTGCTCCACAGTTCCCTTTCTGCTCGTTCCACCACCACCCCTCCCCCCCCCTGGCTCCCCCACCTTTCGCTTCTCCTCCATCCTCCCCCCCAGTCTCCCCTTCACGTCTCCCTCCTCTTCCGCTTCCTCCGACGGGCAGGATGAGGAAGGACGGAGGGGCAAAGAGAAGGACGGGGAAGGGGAGGGCGGGGAGGATGAGGAGGAGGAGGTGGAGGAAGAACAGGAGGAGGAGGAGTGAGCGGGTTGTGAGGCGTGAAAAACCAGGATGAGAAGGCGGAAGAGGAAGGGAGAGGATGAGGAAAAAGAAGAGGAGGAGGAGCAGGAGGAGGAGGAGGACCTGTGACGAGTCTGTCCGCCGTTTTCTGTAGGAGGTCGGAAGGGCGGCGGAGGACAGCGGACGGCGGACAGTCATGTGCGTACTTCAGTCATGTGCGTATGTGTGTGTATTCGTGTGTGTGTGTGTGCGTGTGTGTGTGTGTGTGTGTGGGTATTCGTGTGTGTGTGTGAGTGAGTGTGCGTTCGTGGGTGCGTGGGTGCGTGGGTGCGTGCGTGCGTGCGTGCGTGCGTGCGTGCGTGCGTGCGTGCGTGCGTGCGTGTGTGTGTGTGTGTGTGTGTGTGCGTGTGTGAGTGTGCGTTCGTGGGTGCGTGGGTGCGTGGGTGCGTGGGTGCGTGCGTGCGTGCGTGCGTGCGTGCGTGCGTGCGTGCGTGCGTGCGTGCGTGCGTGCGTGTGTGTGTGTGTGTGTGTGTGCGTGTGTGCGTGTGTGCGTGTGTGTGTGTGCGTGTGTGTGCGTGGGTGCGTGTGCCCCGCTTCGTGGATGCTTCTTGGGCGCTTCCGGGAGCGCTCTCGGCAGCCCGTCGGGGAGCAGTTCCGAGGCCCCGTGGCCCGGGGGCCTCTCGGAGGCCTCTCGGATGCTTCCTGGGGGGCTTCCTGGGGGGCTTCCTGGGGGGCCTCTTGGGGGCCTCTTAGGGGCCTCTTGGGAGCCTCTTGGGGGCCTCTTGGGGGCCTCTTGGGGGCCTCCTGGGGCATCCTGGGGTTCTGTTGTGGCCGAGAGCTCGACATGTTCGCTCGGATTCCCCGTCGGGGCCCTCTCTTGGAGCCGTCCTGGAGGCCTCTTGGGCCGTCTTGGGGCCCTATTGAAGGCCTCTTGGACCGTCCTGGGGCAATCTTGGGCGCCTCTTGGGCCGTCTTGGAGCGTCGGGAAGCCGAAAAGGCGAGAACGCCAGGATCTGACAAGAACCAAAAGAAAATGCATGACGTGTGCCTCTTGGGGCCCTCTTGGGAGGTCTCTTGGATGCCTTGTGGCGTCTTGGAAGCTTCTTGAGCCGTCTGGAGGCCATCTCGGGGGGTCTTGGACTGATCTTTCGGCGACTCGGGGCCCTCTTGGCCCGTTTGGGGGCCCTCCTGGGCCCGAAAAACACATGCGACACACCGCCCCGGACCGCGGACAAACCGCCCAGGACCGGGGAGATTTGAGAGCTTGGGGTCCGGGCCCCTAAGAATCCTTCATCCAGAGGGGCGAGGACTACAACATGGACACGCCGGCTTTGCGCCCGCAGGTATGAAAGCGGATAAGGAATCAGCTTGTCTTCCGCCGGACAAGGGGTTCGATTGTATTCTGCCACACAATCAGTCCTTCTGCAATCCACCACAGAAGGAATCCTTATGTAATACGCCACACAAGGGGTCCTTTTGTAATTCACAATGAAAGGATAGGAGTTGTTCAAGTCACCACACAAATAATCCTGTTGTTGCCCGCCGCATACGGAATCCTTTGGCAATTCCTTGCATAGCGATTTTTTTGAGCCCCAGAAAATTAGGAATCCTCCTGCAATTCAGAAGGGTGCTACTCAGCCATGGAATATGCCTGTGCTGGTCGCGCTTGGTTGTTTCTGCTTCAGCCTGCAGCTGCTACGCATGGATGCTTCCGCGCAGAACCACTCGTGGAAAGCAGACATCCCTTTCCTTCTCTCCTCCCCCTCCCCCTCCCTCTCCACCTCCCTCCTCCCCCTCCCCCTCCTCCTCCCCTCCCTCTCCCCCTCCCTCCCTCTCCTCCCTCCCTCCCTCTCCCCCTCCCTCTCCTCTCTTCCTCCCTCTCCCCCTCCCTTTCCCCCTCACTCCTCCCCCTCCCTCCTCCCCCTCCCTCCCCCTCCCGCGGCTCCCCCCGTCTCGCAGAACAGAGAGGGCGGCTGGGCTCGTTTGGAAGACGCCGCGAGGGGGATCCCTTGTTGGGAACCGCGGCGACGAGGAGGTCCGTGCTCCCCCCCAATTTTTTTTTAAAAAAAAAAAACGTACACTTGTTTCCGTTGTTCCTCTCTCCGCCTTCGGGCGCGGAGCTCGTTTCCTTTGTTTCATGTTCCAGGGCAGGTGTTTCTTTCCCCGTGGTCTCGTCCTGAGGCGGGGGGGAGGCGCCGCGAACATTAAAGGTTCGATATGCAATGCGTGCACACGTAGATACACACTATGACAAAACTTGCCTTGCACATGTGACATATACAAGCAAATCCAGTCTACGAGGGCGAAGAGAGGAAGACACGCATAACGAATACCCCTTCCCCCTCCAGAACGGAGGGGGGGAAGGCATGGTTTTCATCTTTTTCACCTCGCCGCGCTCGGAGGCGGAGTTGTTCTCATGTTTGTTTGTGGCGGACGGCTTTTTTGGTTGATCATGGTTTGCATGTCGTTCCTCTATCCCGTGGTCTCATCCTGGGACGGGGTCGGGCGCCGCGTGGGCCAAAGGGCCAGAAGAGGAGTAGAGAAGAACAATCATAATAAGAGAGAGAGAGAGGAATGACGAGGACAACGACGACGAGGACGAACAAGACTCATCAGTAGAAGTTGAGAGACCTGATGCTCCGGGGTGGCCATACATACGTGTAAACATATGAACATATACGTATGAAGATATACACAGACAGAACTATACATGTGCGCACTTGTGCATATAGCACAACTCCACACACGCATGCGAATAACCACCTCCATATGTTTACCCAGGAATGAATGTGTTGGCTTGGCCACGCTGTCCTGTCGTGCTCTTCATTCTCGGCCGTTCCGCTTTCCATACTCTGTTGTGGGCTGGTTGGTTACATCTGTTGCCTGCCAGGTAGAGAAAACTGGGAGGCCCGGCGGCATGCTCAAATTGACCGACTTTGGCTTGGCGACCGAGGCACAGGGGGTTCATGCCATCCTGTTGGGGAGCAGCTTTGGTACCTCCTCGCTTGTTGCCTATCACTTAACTCGTGTCTTCGCATCAGCAGCTTTGAGTTCCTGCCACAATCCCCTATCCAGACGTTCTGCCTTGCATTGGGATAGTGTGGCAATTGTGGTTTCCCGCTTGCCACCGTTGCCCAGGAACCGGGTCAGGTGTGTCTTATGTTTTGCGTCTTTCGACGCCTGTATTTCGTACTTCGTCGGACTGGCAGGCATTTGCGCACATCTTGCAGATGATGCGGCGTGGAATGCTCTTCATGTCGAATGCGTTGCCAGGCCTTGGCGTCATGCCTTCCCGTACTGTGCTGCTCTTCAGTGTCGTCCACGCGCTGTGATCTAATGCTGCAGGCGCTACCCCGGAAATGTCGTGTGCCTGTTGGGAGAAAACACCCTAGCTGAGATGTGTGGAGGGTGGGTACAGCTCTTGTGTAGAAGAGATCTCGAGGGCAGGTGCCGCGTGGTGCTCTACTCTTTGAGCAGTGTGGAACGCCGCCCTTCATGGTG